CAAAAAGATTCACGCTTTTACTAACATGGCTGGTCGATTGCATTCCATTCCAAGCCATATTGCGTATTATCTCTTGAAACATTCACTAGCTATTCCACGATTAGTTTATCTACTAAGGGCAGCCCCTATTTTTAAATCTCTACATTTGCTAGAGGAGTTTGATTCATTGCTCCATAATGCCTTAGAAGAAATTACAAATTGCCAAATTAATCCTTTGTCTTTAGAAGAAATTGCATTACCAATTAAATTAGGTGGTTTAGGAATTAGACAATCTAAAACATTAGCAACTCCATGTTTTCTTGCATCTTCATTTGCCACCACTGACTTGGTTTCTTTAATTTTGCCCTCGTATGTCACTGCTTTGTCCGATTCACTTGTGACCGAGGCGCAGGACTTGTGGAAGTCAATTAGTTGTGAAGAACTACCTCGCAGTACAATTACTTCTTTTCAATCATCCTGGGAAAGTCCAATTTTCAATTACGTATCTTCACGTATCCTGGAATCATCCACCACCCCAATAAATACTGCTAGGATTTTGGCATCAAGGTCAAAAGAATCAGGTGCATGGTTGCAAGCTTTACCATCGAGGAATTTAGGCACACTTTTAGACGATAATTCCTTCAGGATTGCAATAGGTTTGAGGTTAGGGTTAAATTTATGTTTCCCTCATAAATGTGTTTGCGGCGCACAAGTAGATGAACTAGGCTTACATGGTCTTTCATGTAAAAAAAGTGCTGGCAGGCACTCTAGACATACGCAAGCCAATGACATTATAAAGAGAGCCTTAATTTCTGCAGGCATACCAAGCATTAGGGAACCAGTAGGGTGTTGTAGGACAGATGGAAAAAGACCGGATGGTCTAACACTAATACCTTACAAACAGGGACGCTCACTAATATGGGACTTTACATGTACAGACACTTTTGCCCCCTCTTATCTCTCTCACACACTTAGACATGCTGGCACAGCAGCAAAACTAGCCGAGACCAAAAAACACAAACTGTACTCTGAACTTAAAACAAACTATATCTTTGTTCCGGTGGCTATCGAGACATCAGGAGTATGGGGGACGGAAGGGTTGAAGTTCATCCAAGATGTTGGGAGGAGGATGAAGGATGTCACTGGACCAATGTCGACAACTTTTCTCATTCAACGGATTAGTTTGGCAGTTCAACGCGGGAATGCGGCATCAATCATGGGAGCTGTCCCCAGTCAACGAGGATTAGAAGAATTATTTTATATTTTAAATGATAGGTCGTTTTATTTACAAAAATCATGTAAGGGGCCGAATGGTGATCTCGGACGCCTATCCGGATCAAGTAAAGGTTTTCCCAACCCACCAACATCGGGTTTTTCCTCTACTCCCCAAGCCAACTAAGTGTATTTCATAGTTTATCAATGTTTATGTTAATAATAAATAATACTTTAAGAGATGAATTATGATCTTGATGTACAACACTTTTTAATTTTCTATCAAAAAACTTTGCCTGACGAAGTTCACAGTTTGTGAAAGAAAGCTCGCAATAAAAATATTTCAAGAAAATGTCCTCAGATGCCGATGAAATTGCTTCAATAATAATACGAGGATGGAAACAACTATTTTTAAAATTATCTTTATTAACCAGTTGCTAATTTATAATTCTTTAAGATGACGGTAAACTTCCCTCTTGATGAACCAAACTTGCGAGATCATGGATGGGACATTCCTCCAGGTTATAAGGTGATCAATGTAATTAAACCAAGCGTTATAATGGCAGAGGAGGATTCGCGATCTGCGCCTCCCGTGAGTTATTTTTAGTCAACTCTCTCTTAAGTACATATTTACATAATAAATACCTACAATAAAATTTCCTCTTTTCAATATAAAAGGAAAAGAGGGGCTGCTATTTCACTGACGAAAGAAAGCTTGCATTTTTTTTTAACAATGTATACCTAATTTTTATTAACATAAACATTGATAAACTATGAAATACACTTAGTTGGCTTGGGGAGTAGAGGAAAAACCCGATGTTGGTGGGTTGGGAAAACCTTTACTTGATCCGGATAGGCGTCCGAGATCACCATTCGGCCCCTTACAGGATTTTTGTAAATAAAACGACCTATCATTTAAAATATAAAATAATTCTTCTAATCCTCGTTGACTGGGGACAGCTCCCATGATTGATGCCGCATTCCCGCGTTGAACTGCCAAACTGATCCGTTGAATGAGAAATGTTGTTGACATTGGTCCAGTGACATCCTTCATCCTCCTCCCAACATCTGTGAGGAACTTCAACCCTTCCGTCCCCCATACTCCAGATGTTTCAACAGCCACCGGAACAAAGATATATTGTTTTTCAAGTTCAGAGTAAAGTTTGTGTTTTTTGGTCTCGGCTAGTTTTGCTGCTGTGCCAGCATGTCTAAGTGTGTGAGAGAGATAAGAGGGGGCAAAAGTGTCTGTACATGTAAAGTCCCATATTAGTGAGCGTCCCTGTTTGTAAGGTATTAGTGTTAGACCATCCGGTCTTTTTCCATCTGTCCTACAACACCCTAATGGTTCCCTAATGCTTGGTATGCCTGCAGAAATTAAGGCTCTCTTTATAATGTCATTGGCTTGCGTATGTCTAGAGTGCCTGCCAGCACTTTTTTTACATGAAAGACCATGTAAGCCTAGTTCATCTACTTGTGCGCCGCAAACACATTTATGAGGGAAACATAAATTTAACCCTAACCTCAAACGTAGCTCAAACGTAGCAAATGTAGCTTGCATTCTACAATTATTACACGGAAAGCAATTGTTGGCGAGAATGCACTGTCAATGCGACTTTAAATGAGTGTAAATGCAGCAGAGTTTACCACCCACGTAAAGAAATTAAATATTTGTTTTTCTCATTCATATTAATTAATAACGCAATAATTAAATAATCTATTTTTTGACGCTCGTTCAGGGAATTCTGATGACCGGATCTGTTCCACCCTATCAGATGAATTTGTGCAAACGGCGTAGAATGTAAGAAGGCAATTTTTGTGTGTAGTTAATTAACACAAACAATTATTGCTGATTAACTCGTTTGTAATTTTTCAGCCCACTCGAACGGCACCCGAGATTGCAAATGCCTGCCAGGATGCAACGAGGTGACGTATGGAATTACCACGACGCTTGTTCCGTACCCCAAGGATGAGTTACCCGAGTTGGTTCAGGACTTTCTTCAAGAGTAATACAAATTTTGACCTGATTTTTTGTTTCACTATATGCCATTTTAGACAAAAGACAATTTTAATTTAATAATTTTGACAGTGACGACACCCCAACATCAATTGTCATCACATACATGGACGTTGACGTACATGTCGTAGAGGACATAGACGTAAGTCGATTTAAGTAAAATTAATGAATTGTGCACTCGTACGCAGTAATGAAATTAAAATCTTGACATTCTTTCAAAAAGTCTAGCTTTGCAGTAAAACTCGGCTTTATGTGAAATACTATTATGAAATATAGAAATTAAAAAATATAAATTGTCATCTTGTGGTTTTACAAAAATTTCTCTCAATGGTAAAATAACCGTAATAATAATATCCCAGTTACTATGCATTCTGTTATTATTCATGCATGCTCATCAGGATGATTTGAAACAATTTACACTAGGGGTGAGGCCGTAACTGGGTCAACGAAAGAATTTTTAACTATTTTTTAATTGCTGGCTAATTTCTAAATTGAGTGTGTATAGCCCGAGTCATAGTTACCCAAAATTGTTTTACATATTTAATTTCTGGGAGTAAACAGACAAACAGACGAACGGACAAGCAGTTACATAAGGCTGGGTAGCCGCTGCTACCCAACAATTAAAAATAATTAAAAAAAATAACTTTGTTGAGTTACGGCCGAACCCAGAAACACCGGCCGTAGCCGTTAGTGATTGAAGAATCCTGCATGCTCATTTAATTACTTAATTTGATTCTTTAAAATTGTTGATGAACCAATACATAATTATGCTCTCAAATAAAATTCTAGTCTCCCTTTAGCTTCAATCTCCAGCAGAAAGTGAATAATTTGGTTTAATTATGTAACAAATATATGTAATACAAATATGCACCAAAAATAAATAAAATCACATTTAAAATACAGTCTCTTTTCATAATGTATAATTTATTTCACAGAATCTGGTAGTTTATTACACAAGATTACATGATTCATACAAGCTAAGATTATTACAAGATCGCATGTTGGCGCTCGGACATAGGACGATTCTTCGAGCTTATTTTCTTGCAGAATTTTCATGGTGCGTTGTTCCTTCGCGTTTGATTGGGGTCATCCACTTGTTGAACATATTATTCAGCTCGTCGTACGTATCGTCGCCAGAGTATTGATTATATTCATTGTTGTAATTGTTGTAATTTTGTACTCCTCCAGAACTTTAGTAATTAGCGGTGTAATCATTGGAGGACGCTCCACGCATGGCGGCGATTTCGGCTAGTTTAGTCTAGAAGAGTCGGAATTTAAAAACTTATAATTTACAGGGGTAGGAAAATACTTTGTCAAAATAAAGTATTTTGAGCTCCATTCTTCTCAGGGGTTAGATTTCCAGGGCCGTTATACCCACAAAAAGATGAGAATCTGCATGGAGAATAAAGAATAAAACAGTCTTAGGAAAATAGGTTTAACTTTTTATCGCTGTCAAAATACATTGTTTTCGCGATTTTTTAAAAATACTTCTTACAATTGACGCATACAAAACGAAATTATTGACATTTGCACGCATGGCATGGGTATGCATGCATAAGCACCATCCTGTCCTTATCCTTATCCTTAATCCATTACACTGATATCTATATGATTGATGATATTGCAGACGTACATGTCAATCAAGTGTTGTACATACGTAAACCACAACGCTTATGACAACTCGTACGGTGCTGTGACGATGACATTTTGATTTTTTTGTCACATCATTTACATCACAATTCTGTACTTTTCCTCACAGGTATTCCGGTATAAAAGAGAAAGCAAATGAGCTCCAGGTATTCAGAAATCAATTCGTTGAGTCCAGCACAAAAAGTACCTCATTAAAAATGATCAAGTCCATCTTGTCATTGGCTTTAATAGTTTGTGGAATTACAAATCCCGTAATTTCTCAATATCCTGGATGGCTCGTTCCCATTGGAAATGTTGGCCCTAAAACTTACTACAATTCGTCGGAGAGTGGACCCGTAAGAACATACATACAATACGCCGACGCGATTATAAATAACAGTATTTTATCATGTTTACATATTAAAATCAAGAAAATTTACCATAATTTTTCAAAATTTTAGAAATAGGATTATGCTCAAGCTAAATTTGAATGCCATAAATACAACATGAAACTGGCAGCGATTGAAGGAGATGAGATGCCATTGATAGATTCATACCTGCAAATTGTATATGGTAAGACCTACTTATTTTCACCCCGTTGTGACCTTTCGGGTCAAAAGATCCAAATTTTGACCATTTTTTTTGGATAAGGTAATATTTGTTTTTAATTTCGATTTCCAAATTCCGAATTATTTCTCTCAGGTGAGCGCAATGAAAGCGATATGTTTTGGACTTCAGCCCATCTAGGGCCAGATTTCACCCAGGAAGTGAGATGGAGTACCACAAATGAACCCCTTGACCCCGATGTGCCATTCTTGTTTCGAGGACCCATGCCTGGCGAATCTTCATACGTCTGGTACGAGTGCCCCCCACTTGTCAGATCCTGCGTCATTGGGGATGGGGGTGGCGATTGTCCTGGTTGTTGTGGATGGAAGACTCGCTTGATCCATTCCATTGGATCAATGGCAAGCTCGAATTGTTTAGAAAAGAGGAGATTCATTTGTCAGAAATTTTACGAAATGTAAATTAGCTACGAGTAATAAATTTCAGCTTTAATACTAATTTTATTTGGATTAATTAGGGTTGGAATTATAAATTGGAATTGGATTATTGAAAATACATACAAATAAAAGCAGCAATTAAATGAAAATCAATTTTTTCATTACAATTTGTAATTTACAAATTACAATTACATAAATCAAGTATTTTTATTTCCTAAAATCTCAATCCTTCAATGAACCTTTCTATCTCGTTAGTTTCAAGGCTGTAATTTTACGTATGGGCGAGTTTACTTAACGAAACATCAGGAATTTCATTCGTTTCCAATTTTTTTCAAATAGGAGAAACTGAACTGATTTCGTTTTGTGCTGGAGAGGATCTTAAGAACGCAATGCGGAAGAAGAAGACATGTCTTCTTCCATGTCATCAAATCCGATCCAAATTAAACTCGACCCGAAAAAAAGTAATCTCTTGAGAACTCATATCTTGAAACAAATTACAGTTTATGTCCTCCCTTCGTTCACTTCACTCTTCGAAATATTTTAGCAGATTTAAGCAGCTGTTGGACACACATTTTCAGATTGTATTAGAAGAAAACAGCAAGTTTTCTATTTCAAAATTGTCATCTTGTGGTGATTGTCATCTCATTTTAATAACGTAGCAAAGGTTATGAATTTGTAAGTATTTGGTGGAAAATCGTTATGCATGTACATACAATTTGTAGGTGGTCATGTTTGCTGAGAATTACATTTCTACAAGGATGCAAATTTTCAATTAATTTATGTCGATGTGATTTTTTATACACAAGATTTGACTACAAATATCTCTCAGTGAATCTCACCTCAATTAAGTATTTCATATGCACATATAAAAATTGTGTAAATTAAGAATTTGCAAATTATTATACATCCCCAAATGGTGAAAGTCTTGATACCGGAAAGGTAATTCCTCAGAATTAGCAAAATTAATAGCAAAACTTCCAGGGAATTTTTAAGAGTACTTTTCACAACATGTCAAGAAGCACTTATGGTTGAGTATCTAGGTAGTAAAAAATATAAGCTATTTTGGCTGAAAGTTGGGTTTTAAATGATTAAAAAGAACGTACAAATCGAGTAGCTTTGAGTTTGGTTTAAAATTTTTAAGAGGACACCGATGTTTATTATTTCGCTAAGGCAGAACGACGTGTCAACATGTTTTGCTAGTCGTGTGATAAAAAAAACTGTTCCGTGGAGAGGATAAAATTCTTGTCGAATAGGAATGAATAATAAGTACTGCGAAAATTAATCATGGTTAAACTGATTGTGAGACAAATAACTCGGATGTACATATGTCTGATTATGGATTACGTGAAATTCCTATACTTATTTAGAATGCTTGGAAATATTTGTTGAAAAATTTGGGCAAATTTTTGGCAATAATATTTAATATACAAATATGTATGGAGACCTGTTTACTACGAAAGATGTAAGTTCTTGCGAAATTTAGTTTTTGTTGTTCAATTCCTAATAAATAATTTGGGCAATTATCGATGACAATTTGTGTTGAAATTAAAGTTAAAATTGTTTTTGGTAATGCCTTCTATTTTTACAACCCGTCGATCCGTAACTTTCTCTTACATTCAATTGCATAAGCAATTACGTAAATATGTAGATATATTACATACAAAATAAAGAATTCCCTTGATCTGTGCAAATTTACAATATTTTTCGTTTCATAATCCTTGCATTGCATACTTGTAAGTTTACGCAGTTTACAAAGATCGGAATATGTACCTACATATTTATTTATCCAACATTCATGCAACATTCCAACTTGTTATTCCAGGAAATCCCCATAAAAATTTGTGTCTTGCATATAATTCGTGTTATTTTACATCGCCTCTCGCCATTTCATCAACTGCACTTGTTCCTCTCATAAATCAGGGAACAAATCTGTGATAAAAATGAAATTTGATCTTGTTCCATTCAATTTCATCGCAATGAGTAACGTTTGGTTGGAAAATATCAACATTTGCTAACTAACTGACAGACTACCATGCTCTCGCTCTGCCTCTTTTGCTCCCCCCTTCGCAGCAGTCTTCTCTATAAATAGACAAGTTTCGAAGTGTGGATCCAAGCGCAGAATGAATTTTAACTGGTATCGGATGTTTCATATTATTGTTGGGTTTCGTGTAGCAGGGTTCGCATGAAGTAGAAGAGATTTAATTTGTAGGGTGTCCAATGCATTTTACCATTTGCATGATTTGTAATCTTTGGTGGGCATTACTAGAATAAACTTTGGCAAATACATATTAAGATACAAATGAGAAATGTCTAGCAAAATTTTGTAAAATGATTTGTGTATTAAATTTTTGATTGATAAAAACAGAAGCATGTACGATTCATCGAATTATAGCACTAATTTATTTCAAGATTTAGAGCTAATCAAAATATACATGTACCTGCATCATTCCACGTTTTGACGCATGACACACCTTTAAAAGTTGTGTTTTATTTTATTTCTTAAAGTGTGCTAAAGTGATGACTCTTGACAAAGTTTACTTCCACAATGTATTTATTTATAAATTTCGTCGCACATTTTTAAAAATTGCAATGGACAAAGTATTGCATACCAATTTCAAATTGAGCCTAAAAGAGATGTTTCTAAATCTGGGTAAAAAAAATTTACAAAGTTTGAGTGAAATACAGAAATAAATGGTTTAGAAACCCTGTAAGAAAATGTGTTCGGGAGTTACGAGCACAATTTTATAGTCAAACATTGCCTAACTTACTGAACGAGGCGAGATATTGTACGTATTTATTTACGATTTATTTTAACCAGCTCGAGTATGTGTACTCATTTGAGATGGATGCAATGCATGCACTTCTGCTTAACAAAACTGTTGATAAGTCTTTCCTCCTCGTGAGGAAAGAAATGTGGTTAGTGAAATGAAATGATTGACTTGAGTTAGTATTCGTCTCCCAGCTTGACTCGTCTCTTAAAAGGAAGAAGAAATCTGTAAAGGGAAAAACAAAAATCGGAAAAGATGTTCCGCTTTGTAGAATCGGGATAAGAACAGCAGACTGCTTGGTTTCTGGTTATTATAACCTTCATGTTGAGATTTTTCTGTGTCGGAGTTTGTGTCAAGTTTCAAGCTGGAGTTTTTACATGATTTGTGAAAAAATCCATAAGTTGTAGAAAGGAATTTTTAGCATGGCGTTGAGAAATTTAAAAAATACCAATAATTTACTTGGATAGTTATAAATCTATAGAATTATAAAATTTTACGAAAAAGTGAATTCCTCATCTGTGCAAGTTTGACAATGGAAACTGATCTTCCAATGTAATCTTTGTAAATTTGTGCAATGCAAACTACGAGTTCTGCTGGGTTATACAAACATCAAATGAAGTGAATGCATTAATATCTTGAGTCACATTAGATGAACGATATAATCGAATCTTGTAAATACTTTGAACAAAAGTAAATGTGAAACGCATTTTTAATACGACGCATAAACTGTACCAATGTGATATTATTAGCTAAAAAGTAAAGTTTCATAATTTTTTACGTCATTTAACTTGTTAAAGTGAGGAATATATTTTTGTGTTTGTACCTCATATATTTTTAAACAAAAGGGATTGTTTCCGACCACGAAAAAGGGTTACGTTGCCACAAGTTTAGGAAACGGATTAGTGGAAACTTTCCCCTTCTTTGGGTGAAATGAGCACGATTAAAGTCGCCCTTCGCGTGCGTCCCCTCTCCGAACGGTAATAAATTATGTCAAGAAATTGATTTAAAGCAAAAGATCAGTTGTTGTGTTATCACTCAAAATTTTAGTAAATCTTATGCTCAAAATTTTATTGTGAATCACACTAAAATTTAATAATTGTCTAAAGAGTTTGTTAAATCTAATGTAATTTTAAATTGAAACAATTTAAAATAGTTGATTTCTTGAATTCTTTGCAGAGAATTGAACGGTGGATACCCGGTGGTTCTCTCGGTTGAAAATAATTCTGCCTTCGTAACAGATATTCGGGTAAATCGGGTCATAATAAATATTTAGTGTGCTTTGTAAGTTAGTTTACGATGCGTGAAAATTTTGTCACTTCGTAAATTGCATATATTTTTTTCGAGCTTATAGAGTTTACGAAATTTTTAAAAATTCGAAAATTCAGAAACAAAGTAAACTTTACAAGTTATATAGTCTATAAGCTCGTAAAACAATTCAATTGGCACCTAACGCTATAAAATCTGTAATCTTTACTAAATTAGTTTTCAAACTCAAATAACATAAAAAACACCATGGTCTACGTAAACTTATAATGCTGACATTTGCAAACTATTTGTTTTTAAGTTTTGTATAAATACATATATTTACAACTCTGTGTTAATTTCCCATTACAACTTCACACGATTTGCAAGATTACAAAGTAAATCAGTATGAAAACATGTACATTACTTTTAACCAGGTTCCCGAAAGTCCAAGTGCCGACTCACGCCCGAGATATCGCCAATTTCAATTCGACCATGCCTTCAGGTTGGACAGGGGGTGTAACTCTGCTCGTATGGAAGGAGCCCAGCAGTCCGAAATTTATAAGGAAATGGGTCCCCCTTGGAAGCGTCCGTGCTGGACGGCTACAACGCTTGTCTCCTCGCCTATGGTCAGAGTGGGACGGGCAAAACGCATACCATGTTGGGGTCAAAGGTGAGATATGTTCAGTCTCAATGATTCGGATTAAATTATTAAATTTCGCCCATCGTGCAGGACGACCCTGGTCTAATTCCACGCCTCTGTCTCAATATTTGGGACAAGTTGGAAGGAAATGGGGGTAATAAGTTTCGGATGGAAGTCAGCTTTATGGAAATTTACAGGGAGAAAGTTCGTGACTTGTTGAATCCTTCTGGGGGTGTGCTAAAACTGCGAGAACATCCCCAATTCGGGCCACTTGTGCAGGGTAAGGTGAACTATATAATTATATTGTAACAACGATTCTGAAAAAGTTTTGCAAATATTTTGCATATTGTACAAATAAATAGAAGTTCTAGATGATTTTTGAGATGTTTAAGAATTTTGGATAAAACATGGATAATTGTTTCATAAATATTTGAATAGAAAATTATGATTTTAGATGCGCAAGCCGTGTAGAGTCGATCTGTTAAAATATTACAATTTACTCCATCGTTTTATTTTTACTTAAACGTCGCTAAAATCTTACATTTCTCAGTTTTGAATTGATTTGTAGTTTTATGAAATAAAAACCACGTACAGGGGTTACAAAGTTGATTATACGAAGAACGTCCCTTTAATGTTTTATAAGTCTTCATAAATTATCAAATTTATACTCCGAGGTTTACACCCTCCATAAGAAAATACACAAAGTTACAAAGAATTTGAAAAAAATCGGGTTACAATGCAAATATGATTTTCAATCACTCATCCAAATTGTGCAAATTAGTTAAATAAAATTTGCACGTTTTACTAGGCTATTCGCGACTTTGGTGCACTTGTATTGATCTCATTTTATTGATCCTGTTTTAATAGATCTCCGTCGTTTGGAGGTTACGGAAGAACATTGCCTCTCAGATTTACTGTGGGAAGGTGAATGTCGTCGAGCGATTGGGACGACGGGTTCGAACCATCGGAGCAGTCGGAGTCACGCCATTTGGACGATTTACTTAACGCGACAAAAATCGGATAATTGCTCAACCACGATTACAAATCGGATTCATTTGGTCGATCTGGCTGGAAGGTTGGTGTTGTTTTGTTCAGTTTGTAATTGTCTGAACTTTTCGGGTGGCTAATTGGGCAATAAATTTGAATAAATGGGATGTCATCCTCGTTGTCGGGAGGCAGGGTGCCGTTTTATGTTGAAATGTGATGTAAATTGAGCTGGTTTTGGTGTAATAAAACTCCGATTATTATTTTTTCACTAATATGAAGTTTAATTACGTAAGGAGGTATACGGATTTGCTTTGAATTAAAAAATGAAATTTTCAGTCAAATTTGTTAACGAGTATTGTTAATTATTAGTTAATTAGACGACGTAGAAATCATTAAGTAACATTCAAAATTAAAATTTTTCTAAAATTGACTTTATGGGTAAACTTTATCATAATTTCATACATCAACAAATTCTGCATACAATCTTGAAACAAATTATTCAAGTTTGAAAATTGCTAATTTATTTTTTAAGAAGGAAAATTACGAATTTTGTCAGGCTTGTAATGATTTTTTAAGAGAAGTAACTTTCTAGAAGATCATGGCATGCTCTACGTTTCGCTATTTTTTTGAACCCTGGTGAAAATCCGCCCCCATGAAGGCTAATTGATCTTCTATTGATTTTTGCAATTTTAGTGAGAAGGCAGGATTCGCAACAGCCAAGAACTTGCTCGCAGAAGGGGCCGATATCAATCGATCCCTTGTAGCGTTGGGAAACGTCATTTCATCTTTAGGTAGGTAAAGGAACGTGTAATTGGAACAACGATAACGTGTTATCTTTCTCTGTTATCTTGTGCGTCTTAAGCTATTTTGGCCTGTTTTTTTTTAATTCAGCCGAGAAAGCACAGTACATTCCGTATAGAGATTCCGCATTGACGTGGCTGCTAAAAGACTCCTTGGGTGGAAATGCGACCACTGCAATTATCATTAGTAAGTAAAAAAACCGTCAGTAATTAACACATTTTTTTTATAAGCGCATGATTTTAAATAAATTCGTAAATGAATAACTTGCAATGTTCTTTAATTAGTAATTTGCATCATTTTAACTAAAATTACTGTGCAGATATTTGCAAAAGTGAGGTATTTCATTTTTGCAAAAAAAAAAATTTTGCATTTTTTTTCGCGACGATAAATTTCTTGCTAGTCATTAAATTGTACTGATCTGATCAGTCTGATCAAGAAATAGCATGAGAATAAATGACTACCAACCAACCATTCTTGCTAGAATATTTTCCGGGGCGGCGACCTTGGAAAAAGTTGTATATTTTGGTGTTATAAAAATTCGTGCCATTTTTGTCGAAATTTTTGCAAAATAAATTAATAAACTAATTATATTACAGCCGCGTCTCCCGCGTCTTGTTCGCACGCTCAGACCCTGAACAGTTTCCGGTTTGCGCAGAGAGCGCGCCTTGTTGAGAATAAGCCACGAATAAATTTGAATTATTTGTCGCCTTTACTCGGTTTAAATAACGGAATCGGTATCGGACTCGCATCGTCTGTGGCGTCAACTTCCGCGACCCCTTCGGCAGCAGCGCTGTATTCGATCATGTCCGCCTTTGAGATTAAAAAGGACATTTCCAAACTTTCAAAAATTATAAGGACGGCGCAAAGTGTGAGTACGATTTTTCCATAAAATTTTCGTTACAAAAATTTAATAATTTGCATAATTTGCATTTATTTCTTATCTTAAGATTTACTTCCTGCCTTCAAAATTTTCTAATAAAATTATCAAGGCAATTCACTCAGATTATTATAATTTGTAACCCAACACGTAAACATCATAAACTCAGAAACGTTGAAATCTAGATTTCGGAAGAAAAATCAGGTTTCACTATGCGAAACTCTTTGTTTTGCAAAAAAAGTGTCATAATTTTGTAAAAGAAATGTAATAATTTTGCAGAAAATCTGGAATAATTTTAGAAAATTTTTAAATAATTTTGCATAAAATCTGGAATAGTTTTGCAAAAAAATTACAATATTTTGCAAAAAATCTGTAATAATTTTGCAAATCAGAGTAGGTTGCAAATATCTGAGTGAATTGCCTCACTGTAAACTTTGCCTTGTATATATTTCCTAATAAGTGTTTTAATAGTTTGCCTCCATTGCATGTTACTGGGCAGTACAAAGGTAATTAATTAAGACCTCAATTAAATTTCCTAGCCACTAGTAGTAAAATGCGCGGAAAATTTGAATAAGTTCCCGAATTAATTTCTCTAAGCAACAAAAAAACCCGAATACCTATGTACCCACGATTGCTTGACTTTAAGTATCTAGGTAACGTTAGTCTCCCTTAACGGTTGCGACAAATGGTCGAGTTACAAATTAAAAATTCATTTTAAAATCGTTGGTTCAAAAAGGGCGTTTGAGTCTCCAACTACTTTGACCCTTAATAACTTTTGAATCGGCAGACATAGAGACTTAATTCTTGAGGATGAAATCATCGTAATTTTTTGATTGATTTTTTAAGCTAAAAATCTCGAGAGTACTATTTCGAAAATTAAACTTGAAATCTCCAGTGAGCCCGAGTCAGACTCTGTGGTTGTCGGTCAAACCAACCATTTTCCATGAAATTGTAATGTACCAAATGCATTTAAACTTGTGGAGTGACATATTTTTGAAAAATCTGTATGGATCAAGCCCTACGGTCTCACCCGTTCTGAAAATTTCAGCTAAATCGGTTCAGCCATTTTGGCTATCGTGTTCCGGAAGGACATGATGGTTCCATAAGAACTGACTTAGGCTAAAAAGGCAACAATTTTGCAGAGCCTTGTAAGATGGCATTATTCTGAGAGCAGGACTCGTAATGAACGATGTGCATATAATTTTGTGATTTATTTTTGGTATATAAACCATTACAAAACACGAACTTAATAAACTCGGAAAATTTTTCCTATTTTAATTTATATTGCTACGATTAGTTTTACGACAGTTATCGCAAGACGGACAGACGGACATAACGGGTACATAAGCCCTGATTCAGGCTAAAAACCTATATTTAGTTAAAATTTTCACCAATGCATAATACGCATTGTTTATTTGACAAAAAACAGGCGTAAAGTGCATTAGTAAAATGTATTTGGTACAATAAAATTCTATGCAAAATGGTCGGTTTGACCGATAACAGCGAGCTTGACTCGGGCTGCACACTGGAGATTTCAAGTTCAATCTTCGAAATAGTACCCTCGAAATTTTTAGCTTAAAAAATCAAGCTAAAAATTACGATGATTTCATCTTTAAGAATTAAGTCTCTATGTCTGCCCGTTCAAAAGTTATTAAAGGTCAAAATAGTTGGTGTATTTGTAAGGGACTTTTACACCAACTATTTTAAAAATAATTATTTTATTTGTAACTCGACCATTTGTCGCAACCGTTAAGGGTAACTAGGCACTAAAAGTCAAGCAATCGTGCTATGTACCTGTATTACTGAAATAGTTTTAATTTTTAATCACAATTTCCTAATTACTCTCAATTTTGTACTTTTTTTATTATTTTCCAAAAAATGCTGCATCCTCCTCGAAATCATGTTACCACTTTGACTCCCAGTGTTCAATACCCTTCTCCAAACGGGGACACTGTTTGGGCACGGTGGAACTTTCTACACGTAACTTTCTCACTTTCTTTCACTCTTTCTTACTTATTTTTGCCTGCTTAATTTGCATGCCTGATAAGAACTTAACATTACACAGTTAACAAACACTTATCATGCCCTAACCGTACACCTATCTTCCCACAGAACGGCGGCATCTTGCGAAGTTTGACCCCACGCGCGTCCTGGAACCGCTTAGTAAACGCGCTCGAGGGTTGGAACGCGATTGAGGGCGAGCAACTAAAAATCCAACAAGAACAAGAAGCCCGCTCCCGAGCGGGATCTGTCGACACGGCGATGGGAAATTCATCCCCGGGAAAAAGTGACGCCACAAGTCAAGCCAACCTTATCATCAAAAAGGCGGCGACATGCATAACACCGTCCTCCGCACCGAGCAGTCCAACCACGAAGAAAACCACGGTGGGAAACGAGGTTTTTATCCCAGTCTCGAATTCCATCAAGTGTCTCACATGGCGACAAGAAGAGGTCAGATTGAACCCCGTCAAAGATCCCGATGTCGACGAGGATTGTCCGAAAGTGGTGAAGAAATTGACAGAAAACCAGGTCAACCTCCTGCTTCCGGTGCAATACCCAGTCCCACAACATTTAGACCACCCGTCACGAATCTCGGAGAAGATTCATCGCTCTCTGGCCGCACTTCCGGTCGCCGAAAAGGCGCGATTAGGGATCGTTCCGGATGTCTTGATGGAAGGAAATTCGCCCCTGATCAGGCATAGGATTCCAACTTTGGTGAATGCGGAGAGGATTTTGGAGCCTAAAGTGGAACACTTGGTTTTCCAGGAGAGTGAAAATGTCATCAGGGTTCCGGTGGTGAGGAAGGATGAAGATTTTTTTAGCTTGAGTGATGAAGAAAGTGGTGACGAGGTGGAGAAATGGGTGCGAAAATTCGTCACGGTGGAGGACCACAAATGCGTCGAGGTGATGGAAGAGGCGATAAGTGACGAGGAGGAGGAAGTGGAGGAGATAAGGACAGGGTCAAAGTTCCGGTTGGTGAGGAATAAGGACAAGGACAAGAAATTGTCCCCGGGGACGGTGCAATTGCCCAGATTTCCGTCAATTTTTGATAAGCTGAGAGAAAATAAGAAAGTCGTGACGTTTGAAGATATCAGCGAGGGCGAGGAGGACGACAATATTTCAGATGACAGTTTGGATAAGAGGACGACAAGTGACGATGGGTTGGACGAGATGGAAATAATTCCCGTCAGAAGGAAGAGGAAATCGCCACCGCCTCCACTGCGGGAGGAAATAATCGGGGAGGATGATAATGCCGACGAAGCGTTGATCTGTGTAGAGCAGTTTGCAAGCTGTAGTCCAGTGGATGGGAGGAGTTGGTCGAATTGTGACGACTCGGAGGATGGATCAGAGTCAAGTTCTTCAGAATCTGGGTGGAATTTCTTGAGGGTTGGAACGATTCCGGTTTTGGTGAAGGTTATGCCGGAAGAGGGAGACGCGGAGAAAGGTAAATGGTCGAAGGTTTCTCCATTTTTGGAAGAATTTTGAAATTTTTATACAAAATTTGGGTCAAACTTCTAAGTAACTAGTACTTTTTATGTGTTTTTTTCCAGATTTCCGACTCGAATCCATCACCGAATGGGTGAAAGACGTCAACGCCAATCCAATTCCAGTATCCACCTTAGAACTCAACCTTGACCTTCCTTCCGACCCCGAAATCGAATCTGAAGCCGACTCCCTCACCAACAACGACCTTTCTCCTCCTCTCCTCGATAGTGGTGGAAACGACTCAAAATTCCGTACCCATTTTTCCCGTGAACTCAGCCAAATGGAACAAATCGGGGCAAAGTTGGCGCAACTGAAACAACTTTCCACCCAAGGTAACCGCTTTAACGTAGTAAAACCCTATCTGGACGAGATTATGACGTTGGAAACCACCGACCACGCCACACCCGACCCCAGTTTGGACACGCATATTGAAGAATGTTCCGGTTGGAGTGTCGCAACCGAGTTGAACCTCGTGAAAAAGGAGATGACAGCGCTAAGCAGGCTTTTAAACTCGCGCGGGCAGCCGAGGCGTGATTCAAATGCGAGTTCTCAAAGTTCCCGGGCCTCTTCGACCACGTGCAGTGGTACGACGCAGAGTCAGAGTTTCCCCTCCCCTCGAGCGGCCAGGGGAGGAGATGAGTATCATCAATTTGGCTTATCTTCGAGGATAAGACCAACCTCCGCGTCGGAAAGGGGACAAATTATGTCGGCCGAATTTGGGAGGAATCCGGGAAGAAATTCCTGGTCAGAGACAGCACTTGGGAATAGATTTCATACGGGGGCAGGATTTTCGGGAGGGGAACAGTTCACATTTCCTGAGGGGGCAGCGAGACAAAGTGATCCATTTGCAGGGTGAGGAAATTAAAATTTTGAGAAATTTCAATAACAAATTAAAATTATGATTTTTTTAGGATGAATTTTGAGTATGGTCACCGATTACGGGAGGAAGTGACACCGAAAACGGGGTCAAACTCGGGTCAACACCATAACCAAAGACCACTCGGAGTTGTGCTTCCTCTTGACCAGTTTTCCTCTGGGGAATCGAGTGTACATCGATCCTATGGACGTGGTGATTATCGTGGTGGAGCAGATTTCTATTCATGTGATGTATGTAAATTTTCGTAATTTTCTGAAATTATGATAATTTAATACTGCCTCATTTTTTAGGAAGCGATGATACCACAGCAGTCGTCGTTCTGTTCGAGTGACCATATCGTGCCGACGTCAATGTCGCATTCTTCTCAAATATTTCCTGGACAAAGAACTCCCCCAGAGGTGTTTTATCACCCGACACATCCACCTTATCAGAATGCATCACCTTATCAAAATTTTGGTCCGCCACAAATTAACATGACAAATTACAACAATACTTTGCAAGGATACTCATCTTCAAGTTCTCAAAATTATAATAACAGTATTTTTCCCAATAGGACGAGACATTTCTAAACTGTCGAAATAATGAATGGCTATAATAAATAAATTTTAGCAATTATATTAAATATGTAAACTGAAATATGTATGTTACTTGCTGAGGAAATTATTGAATAAATAAAGAGTGACATTTTTTGCGTATTTAATAAAAAATACAATTTAGGTTTTTGTCAAATTTTGTTGCATCTTTTCAGACATTCATCTGAAAACTACCATCAAAATTGCGTACAGAAATCATGACGGAATTAACATATATAAACCGAAATTAAACACGATGCAGAATTTGATTAAATATACCGTGCGGGTCAGAATTGAGAATTAGATATTAGTCCAATAAAGGTACTATATTTAATTGCATTAGTTTATTAATTGATGTAACGTCACGAAATATTGATTAATAAATGGGACATACATAGTAATTGCAATCGATTTGTATATTTTGGAAATAAATAGGCTGCACATTATATAACTAATATTAATAATACTACTTCGTAACCTGTACATATCACAAAATAAGCACTAATCTAATAGGACCACTCTTAAAATTTACATTTTTCAACTAATCAAGTCTTCGTTTGCGTTTCAACCTGTTAAAATCGAGGTCTTCTTCGTTCTCCGAAATGCCATTGCTTTTTCCAGCGTCAAGTCTTTCTTCCTGTCGGTTTTTCGCTTCCTTGACCTTAACCTGCGCCCAATCCTGTAAAATCATTTCCGCCCCCTTGTCGCCAATCATCATGGCGGACGCTCCCAAATTTGTGACGATGATAACTGGCTGAATAGAAGAGTCGACAACGCGGAGTCCTTTAATCCCACGAACTCTGAGTCTGGTATCAACCACGGCAAGCGGGTCGTCCGCCCGACCCATGCGAGCAGTGCCGACGGGATGATGGAGAGAAACGCTGTTGAGTAAAAAAATATAAGCATGACTTATCAATTCAACATATGTACACTGTAAAATTTTCAACGAGTTTGTGTAGCTTTTGTTAATTATTGCCTCTTTTCGGTAGTAAATCGTTACGTATAAAGCGACATAGCGTATAAAATCTGTGACAATTTTATTACCAAATTTTTGGAGAAATTTAATCAATTTTGGACGCTGAAGATTTTTCGGAAAATTTTGACCCGAGCGAAATTTGTAAAATTGAACATTGATTTATTCCGATCCAGGTAACTTTTCAAATTTTTGAAAATTGAAATTTTTGAAAATTGAAATTTTTCTTAGGTGAAGGAAAAGTAACCATAAGGTGATCATGTTAAAAGATCACCATGGTTACGGCGAAGCCTAGGTATGCAATCAGCTGCAACTTTGAAAAGGTCGCACTGAGATTTCGCCCAAACCGTTCGTTGCATGGAAAACATGCTGAAACAAAAAAACCAGAGAATTCTGTTTTACAGATACGTTTTTTTTTATTTTTTCAAAAATTCTAATTCCTTCAGGTAGAAAGTCCGATGCCTAAAATTTCAAATCCATTTCTTGGCATCAAGGAAGTGTTTCCGACCGGGGGCTTGCCATTTTTATTATTCTCCAGGATAATACGCAAATTGTAAGCCTTTGTTCGACTTAATCGGATCAAAACTGACGGAATTAGAGCTTTTTGAAATATTTGCATTAGGCAACCTATTTACGTGTTAAGTTACTGGTTGCTAACGTGCGGTGATAGTTTATTCAGCATCGCTATTCAATACTCAACATATCCAATGTTGCTAGACAATCGAATTACGTTATTATTAGATCGCTAAGTGTCAAGGCATCCTTGACAGAACAGAACAATCCTTAAAATTTTGAAACTGGGGGATTAAATTGGCATGCCACGCATCCACACCCACTGCGGAATTAAATTGGTATGCCAAGCGTCCACAAACAGGAGAATTAACAACGTTTAAGATTTTATAATTGCATATGATTTTATGCATATAAGTTCACAAATCACTAAAAATAATTAAATAAATAAATTTTAAAAAACAAACTTAGGTGAAGGACGCGCTTAAAATATTAAAACAAGAAGCATTAAAAAATGTCATAAATCGCTTAATATTTATTAACTTTTACTTCACCGGGGGCCCAACTGTTAAATTTTCAAAGCAATGATAATCAATAATAAATGTAGCTAAACCAACGACTTGATTAAATATGAAGGGCAGCATTACAGAAGTTATTAAAAATACGCCAGAACATGAGCAAATTTCCTCTATAAGAGGTGTCGCGATTTATTGAAAGATAATCATTCAAATCTTGCAAGTTTAATATACAAATACATATTACGCATTTCGTATAATTGTTCCAAATCCTTGAAAGTATACCTTTTTTCCTGTGTTAGTTGGGCCTCCGGTGAAGTAAAAGTTAGTAAATATTAAACGATTTATGACATTTTTTAATGCTTCTTGTTTTAATATTTTAAGCGCGTCCTTCACCTAAGTTTGTTTTTTAAAATTTATTTATTGTAAATTTGGTAACAAAATTGTCACAGATTTTGCACTATTTTGTTACCACCACGTCAACTAACCTGTACCGACTAATGTAACACTTCCAATATTCGTCACTCCGCATCTCGAACAGTTCACACCCTGGAAGTTTATCATTTGTGAAGACGGCGCCCAAATTTTTACCCATCGAGGTCGAATCTTCCACCATTTCGACCGACCTCTTCACCGCTTCGAGCAACACGGCGAGATCAGTTTGGTTTCCCCCGTCGCCCAAATAGTTGGGTTGGATGAGGGGTGGATCCCCAGGGATGGAGGACTTCAACCTGACCCACCCACGGGACAAGGGTCGCGCACCCGTGACAATGAGGTAAAACGAGTCACGCCCGTCGACATCGCCCTGTTTGTAGTACTCCTGCATCTCGACGGGCTCCAGGTTGAAGGCGTGGGCGACAAGGTTGGCGACGGAGGATGTCGACGAGTAGCCGAAGAGGAAGAGGTGCACGTCCGGCCAGGCGGGTTGACCTCGGCTGGCGGCGATGGACGAAGTGAAAGTTCCCGAGGCTTGCACACCGGACGAGGAGAGAGGTCCAGTGCCGGATGTGAGCCAGGATGAGAATGAGGAGGGGGAAAGGTCACGCTCCATGCGGAGGGTTTGAGCTGGTGGGGAGACGTAGAAAGGGCCAAGGTAGACGCCGAGGTGGTCTTGTAGATTGTGGCCGACGGGGAGGTCTTGTTTTAGGGGGATCTGGGGGCAGGAGAAAGGGGACAATGAGGCATAATTTTGGTCGTGTAGGTTTTTGTCATAATTGGACATTGTGTAATAATAATTTGTCATACCCCGTGACGGCTTAACTCCTCCTTTGGCCCGATACCCGATAACATCAATATTTTGGCCGAGTTTACCGTCCCTGCCGATAGAATGACCTCCTTCGTCGCCAGAGCGGTTTTGATTTCGCCGAATTTCTCGTATTCGACGCCATACACGTTTCCATTCGAGTCGATAAGGACCTGAATTTTGTTAAGATCATGATTAACTACTTATGTAAATATTTTTCATATCTTTGATAACCGACCTTGTTAACGTTTGCATATTTAAGCACAGTTAACGTCTCCATGTGTCGAACGGGTTGGATAAAAGCAGAGTAAGATGCGATCCTTCTCCCTTCTCGGATCGGGTATTTGATCCGATCGAAGCCAGCGGCGCCATAGGGTGAATTCATGTCGACCTTAGGATATCCAAATTCACCGGCGGCGGCGATGAATTCGTCCGAAATTCCGAGATAGTCTGGCTCGTCGATAAGCATGTCGCCCCGGCGGCCGTGGTAGCGTTCTGGTCATAATATTGGGTCAATTTCCGGTTCAATTTCATTAAATAAAAGTTTTAACACGTATTTAATATGGGGGAAAAATGCTTTGAAATTTTTGCGAATAGTTTTTGCACTAAATGGAAACACTGAATCCATTTTTTATGATATTGTGAGATATTTATTTTTTTGCGAATGTGATTTTGATAATATTTTTTGCAAACTGATGTGTGTCTGTATCATATTACTCACTCACCATCAACTTTTACCATTTTTCCGGAGTACTCTTCAATACTTTTAAAGTTTGGCATAAGCCCTTCAAAACTCCAAGACGAGTCGTTCACAAGACTCGCCCAGTTGTCGAAATCTTTCCGATGACCCCGGAGATAGATCATGATGTTCAGGGTCCCGGTACCACCTAGCCCTTTAAGCGAATCATAATTTCCACAATTATCACAAAAATTACATCAAAATTATTAATAGATTATTTCCTTCGTTTACTATTTGTTATTTATTTCTTTTTAACGGAAATTTCAAAAACACCTGAAAGAACTTCACAGCTAAATAAATTTTGCTTAGAATAATTTAATGGCTTGAAATCTTATCAAATTAATCGATATGAAGTAAAATGACTACATCAATTTAATTGCATTTTTCTGAAAATAATTTTTTAATGCCCGATTCCTTGTAGAATTTTGCTAGTAATTTAAATGCAATTATTGCATTGCATGCACCCACAAATTAAGCAAAAATGCATCATACTTGGTATCTAATTATATTTAACTGATTTTAGGTAGGAAAATTGTTAAATTAATTGATTAAATTACTGAGCAGATACCTTTTCCCACGCTCCAACTGCTCTCGGCACGTATCGAGTTAAGCGACGCTTTCGTTTGTGGCACCGACCTGAACATCCAGTCCGTCTCGGGGTAGTTTATCATCCCCATGAGTAAACCGGGCACGATTTGGAAGGGGTGTGGCTCTCCGCCCGCCTCGAGAAGCAGGACTTTCGCACCCGACCGGGTAAGACGATTCGCCACCACGCCTCCCGCTAGACCAGCCCCAACTAAAGTATTGAAAAAATTCATGAAATTTGTTTCAAAATTTGAACATTATTTAATTTTGAGGGAAAATATTTTGAAATTCAAAATGTGAAAAAATCGCGGAATATGGCGTCACTATTTTGTGTGCCATTTTATAATAAGACCTTATCCAAAATGTGGCCACCTTTTAAATAGATAAATCACAGATTATTTCGCATAATCGCACCTTATGGCGTTAATATTTCGTCCCACATTTTACGATAAGACCTTATCAAGCCACCTCCCTTACCCACTATGAAGTCGAAACTCTCCCCGTCCTTGAGCACCATTCTGTCCAGGAGTTGATCTGCTCTTCGCCACAGTCTCAACTGTGTGGGAACCGTGCTCATCACGGAGAGAAGAATAGGCACCCAGACGGCCGTGATGAGGAGCGGCACACCCACCGAGGCGACCGGCCAGGACGCCGTCGTCATGATTTGACGGGGAATTCTCATCTTCCCCAAAAACCGGTCTGTCCGAGATCAATTTATTTATGCACAAAAAAACCAGGAGATCCTGTTATGAAATATGTTCCGACGCGAGTAACAAAAGGCGACGTGACCACTGCCAACAATTAAGATACACCGACTGGACTACCCCACTCAACTGGACAACTCTCGATCTTAGGTACAGATTTTGCTGAAAAACTTGTTGTCCCAAATTGTTGATCATAACATCAAGATGCACAAATTATGTAGTTACAAGGGGAACCGGCTAACCTAAATATTTTCATATAAATATTTAATACAAACTGGTCCAGCGAGTCTCACCACTCTCTCTTCTGCACTAAATAATAGTCCAGCAGTAGTAAATGCTTCTTAAACTGCATAATTACGTAAAAATCGTGACAGGTACTTACGTACATATGTGTGATATGCAGATTCGCAACTTTTACTAGATTAATTTAATAGCTACTTAATAACAAAACAACACGACGGGTATCATAATGCATATGTACATACCTAAATACATATGCGCTATGAATATGCATTACATTATGTAATTTACATAAAGACACGCGTAATCATTCTTTTAGCGCAGTAATAATAAAGTTTCGTCGTTAATTGGTCGTATCCACCGAAGGGTCGTTTATCCGTGGTATCTTATCACTGAGTAGAAAAAAATGTCTAATATTATCTGAACTTGAACAACAATGAATGAAACGAAATGGTCACCAAGTGTCAACACATGTATAGAATTAGACGCGCCTTGTACGTATACCGCATCCGCCAGACAAACAGTGTATTTAGATAAAGGACGGTAAGATGGTAAAATTGTGACAATTGTGTTAATAAAAAGTCTTGATTAGTAAGAAGTTAGCGTCAGGTTTGGGGGCCGTGCATACAGCATGATCGATAAGCCATCTTATCTTTATCATAACTGTAGTATGAGACACATTGGTAAGTCAAAATTCTTGGATCACAAACTGTATTTATGCCCTTGTGGTCTCTTGATCTTGACGGAATGTTGATATTGTTGATGTCCTCATCCATCTCACTTGGCGTGGCGTGTCCGTCGTGCACCTTGATTCGATTCACATTCGCACATCGTTTCCTTTCTGGCGAACAATGCTACATGTAAATGTAATGTCAATATTTACGTACCAATGACTGGGTTGAATGTCACTTTTGTTTTTCGCGAAATTATAACACGACGGTGCAAATTGTTGCGAATTAGTAAAAACTATAAAGGGATTTCGGTTTGGGGGAGGGCATTGAATCGAGATTTCTGGTAAAATCATGGCCTGTGGTCGGCGGTAATTTAAGGATGATTAGGACCCAGTGTCATCTTGATGTTTCTTATAGCGGAAGTTATTTACTTAAGTGAGGTGATGATTTTATCCAGAAATTGTAAAGATGATGACACTGAATTAACTAAATAACTTATCACAATTTAGGTGTAAACTTGGCTTGAACTTACACGCAAGTAAAGAGAAGTTTATGACGAGTAAAAAACTCTTGTAGTACGAGGCTAATAAAACTTTGAACATGGAGAACTTGGTTGTTGGTGTATTTACTTACTTATTTTCGCAATCATAGCCAATGTTACCACAAATTGCAAAATATTTATTGCAAAAACCGGTTTTTATCCAAACTAGTGACCCTTCACGTGGTCTAAATCTGGACAGGATGTGAAACACGAGTTAAATCTCGGTTTCCAATCTGATCAGCACAAACCCAAATTATGAAAAGCTTGATAAAAAAATAAGAAAAATCAAGTCTGGAGTTGAAAAAACTCTATTCTATTTCGAGCCCAGCCGTGTCTGACTAATTAAGCATATGTACTTAAGTATGATTCAACTCTGTCTTTACAACGAAAATAGTATTACATAAAGTTATGTGAAGCCAATTGTAACTTCTTAAAAATCTAGTTTTCCTTCTTTTGTATTATCACGGGATCAATTCACATTCATAATTAGAGTTGGATTGAGCAAATTTAGTGTATATTTATTTGAAGCGATATAAACGTACAACCTAAATTTCATGGAAGGTTGACTGACTCCCTTCCTCTTGGTCATTACAAGAACATCTATATTTTTTCTCTGTCTATTTCTACAATAAAAATGCTCCATTAATTAGCAAATTGCACATTTGTAGTAGACAAAGCATTAAAAATTCAGCACTCTAATCCAACCAAGAATCTGCATTTGTCCATAGGTATACGTAATCCTTGGCGTTATCTTTGTCATAAGTTTTTGTTCGTAACATGCGTCTGTGAGAATATTTTTTTCTTGTGTGGCACCATATTGTGCGAATCAGTCAAGTATATATTTGCATATGTGAGAAATTGATGTGCGAATTTATATCAATTTATTGCGTTCTCATTCAAGGATTTTAATTGCAGGTGTTGAGCACCTCGTAAAAACTTGCCCTGTGCAGGCAGACGAGTCCGAACTTGTGGAGTTAATTATTATGCTGGACAAGCAGGCTTCTCTTCGCATTTAATCTTGTTAGATTGTTATTTTCCTTGTTTTTGCTGTAATTTATATCATTTCATCAAAGACGGTGTGCAAGCAAATATAACCATTTTTCAGATTCCGGCACAATTTTTTTTGTATGCTTTGGTGAAAAATTCTAGAACTTGACATTGTATGAATGCATTTATGCAAAAAGTTGTTTTCCAAGAGTTTCTGCAAAAACGATTCCTCTCTACATATTTGCGCGGATATGTTTTTGATATATATTTAATGTAGCAGTGTTCCGTAAATATGTATGCACACGGAATGTATGAAATATTTTAGGGGGTTGTGCACACAGGATTTTATGATCATTTCAGGAGAACAACATCTTCAATTAATTCAATTCACCAATCGATAATCAGAGAAGAAGAGCGAAATTTGCGAAATTTATAGATTTATCGCATGCTTGCAGCACGACCCATAAAATTAATTTCCCAGCTCAACTGCACGAAATGGATTTGGTTGAAATGTTATCTTTCACGCTTTATCTTGTTATTTCAGTTAAAATTAACTCTGCTTTATTAAGGAAATTATATAGCCACCCACATTAAATTACCTAAACATAATAATTAACGAAGCGGATAAAAGTGGAGACTGCATGCACACCACGAGGCACGCGTATTATATCATTTTGTGAATGCATAGATATTTGCGTATTGTATAACTAATAATTATTTGCAGTACATTTTTGCGCACAAGACGCGAAATTGAGTGAAATTGACTGAATGTACCCTGTAATGAGGAAAAGATATGAGAATAAAAATAGCGCAGGTACTTAATTGTGAATTTTGTAAATAAAAATCTGTAGAATTATAATCAAGACTGTCCGTCGAGTAGATGTATGTAAACGATTGTTATATCATTATATGGACATTTCAGTTGGATTTATTAGTTTGCAAATTCTCATCACTGGCAAATTTACGTAAGATTTTATGCGCTGATTTTCATTTACGACGCAGACGGATAATTAAAACTACTAATTGACACTACATATGTGCATTAATTATGTAAGAACCGTGCACAAAAAAATGTGATTAATTTGAGAGAGCAGAGGTCAAGGAGAGAGTTACTATTAATAATATGCCATAAATAAGCTTCCTAGTCTGAAATGCCTGAGAATATTTTTTGTGAATTGAAAAATTTTCAATCAAAATTGACAATTAACAATTAGTTGCGCAGTCTGCAAATGAATAGTAAATGAGACGCAAATGTAAACAACCTACAAAATTTGTAGGCTACAAATACACATTTTTAATTTGCAAAAAATATTTCCAGGAATTTAAAATTGCTTTAAAGCTCTTATTTTAGCAAACTAATTTATTTTAAGGTCAACTCCGTCTGAGTTTGTTTAAGGTTTGGTAAGCCAAAATTCTCAGAAAACCAATTGCATTTTTTATTCTAGATTCCGTACAGTAATTACGTAATTGACACCGATAACTTAATGAGCAAAGCGAAATGACGAGTTTGTTAGAACTAGTTAGAAGAATTATCACTTATTTTTTTCGACAAGCAGCACTTCACGAACATTTTGGGAAGGATTTCTAAGGACAAATCCAGATCGTTCTCGATTCCCGACTTCATCACGCAGATGACCCCATAAACATCGTCCTCGACTTGGAACCTGGTTTCGATTCGTCCTACGACTTGTAATTCGACATGATGACGATGATGATGACGATAGCTGACTGCTCGCTGTTCCTGTATTAATATTCACTTCCGGTTCAATTTCTGTCCGTGTTTTCTTAAGCATTTCCAATTCATTCCTCATTTTCTCCATTCGTTCCATCTTCTTGTTCAATAATTGCGTCGCGGTGTGTGGAATGTCTGCATCAGCGGCGCAGATCGTCGTGATGGTGGTGTTGCTGTCGTAATTTATCGTGTCCCGACGCCAAGCCCAAGACAAGATTGGAGAGAGGAAATGTTCTTCAAAACAGATCAGGAGAGGAAGCAGAATTTCCCGCTGCGATGTCGATAACCGATTGATTATTTTATCGCGCAATTTTATAACCTTGCGAACTTTACAAGATTTGAAATGCTTGAATTTTAACAAAAACCAATACCACGGCGAGAAGGCCTATCGCCAGGAAGAATACGTAATATGATACAGCAATAACGTCCGAGTAAATTTCCACCATCGTGCGCATCCAGGCTCGACTCCATCGCTGAAATTGGTTAATTAATTAAGTTATTATTGATAATAATTAAATTGCCAATTAAATTTTAGCCCCACGGGATACACTTCGAGCTGCATGAGCCATTTCCACCACTCGTCGGTATCCCTCTCTTCCAAAGTCTCGAGGCATCTGACTGTTTTGGTGTCCCATCTGCTCCACGTGAACCCCAATGTCCCCGCTAATACGGTATGTCGCCAAATGTGGACGGAAATGTGACCATTTTTCCACTGTTTTTAAGAAGGAAAATCATTTCTGTTTGTTTTTTGTGGTGTGATTAATTATGAAATGATTTACCGTCTCGAGGAAATTGCAGATTCGGGAGCTGCCAAACTTGATAAAAAATATGACCCCATTTCCCAACCAAATGACGACATGGTAAAGTAGAAAGGTTCCGCAGATGCAATACTGTAATGCAAAGGGGAGCAAGGATTCCCAATTTTTTGATGTGGCGACCCTTCTTCGCGCGTCGTCGGGGGATGCGGGTGTTATTTGGTTGATGAGGGTGCGACATATGGTGCCACCAATAATTCCAAATATTGGGAAGGATATTCCAGAGAAGATTTCTCCATTTTGCATCATTTTCGTGATTTATTTGATTCGATTTTGTTGCATGCAAAGAACTTCGCTAGTTTTTTCAGGATAATTTTTTTTGTGGTGCAAAATTTCTGAATTTATCAATGTGTTAAAAATATAGCTACGTCATAGTTACGTCCTTTATGGTAAATTTTGTCCCAAGTCTTGGGGACAAGAATTTCAATATAATCGGGACAAAATGTTGAGAACAATGCAGATCACAATGAAATTGATAATATCAGCATTCGTTAATTACCGAAAATACAACACACCAATATTTTATTTATTTATTTTGATAACTACAACTTTGCCAAGTCCTCAACCCCCACGTCCATTTCAGCCATGACGCTTTCATGCACATAAATCTGATCCATTTCAATATTTCGGATGAAAATGAGCCCATTTCGTTTCAATAATTCTGTCAATTCCACTTTTTCTTCAGCCGAGTAAAAGTAAACTTCAAGAATGAGAACCTTTTAAAAATTTCATTTCAAATAAAAAAAACATTCATAAAGATATATTTGCACTTGACTCACCTTGATAACCACCTTATCAAAGGGGAAACTTTTAAGAACGGCGAATTCTGCACCCTCAATATCAAAAGAGAAATAATCAATTTCCTGTATTCCAGCAGCTGCTAAGATGGAATACAGCGGGACAGATTCGATCCCATCGAGATATGACCAAGTCGAATTGACGCCGAATTTTCCCAGGTCCCAGGCCGGGCCGAGTCTCGCGCTGTACGTCCACGTCGTCGGGATGGACATGTTCTCCTAAATTTGCGGTATTAATTTAGTGATGGAAAGCTATGAATTAGCCTAATGTACCACTTATCAGTACCACTTTTGGATATCCGCTCATCGACAAGCAGACCGTCGCTATCCACGTTTTTCTCGCCACGTTTCTCAATTCCGGAGTTATTCTGGGGTTGCACTCGACCAAAATTCCACTCCACCCAAGTTCGATTTCCAACTCGATTGTATTCGTACTTTCGCCAGAGTTTGCGCCAGCTTCGAAAAAGACCCCGTTGCGCTGCGTAGTTAAAAAATTAAGATATTTAATTGTGGCTTATGAATTAATTGTTAAACCCTTTCATCTGAGCAAAATGCTGGACAAATTGGACAGAATACATTTAAAAAAATAGGCAAAATACAGATTGATCTGTATTGTAAAAACTTTCGCCAATTTCTCTCCTTTGACGAATTTGGCAAACTAATTTGGCGAAAAATTGCATTGAATCAACATTTGTTTTAGTGCGTCAAATTATGCTACCTTGTTCTTGTAGAATGTCCTGATCCACTTTCCCAACGTGGTCTTCTGATATTCTGGGTACTTTAAGTTATACGGTTTTTCTTTTGGTGGGGGTGGTGTCAAATATCTCGCTCGGACGTAGCGAATCAGTTTCGGATCAGTTTGCTCCATTTTTTCGAAATTTTCTTGCACAAATTGAATCTCTTGGAGGAAAGGGTCGTCAGGAAGGGAAGTCTGGGTGTCTGCTTCAACTTCCGGTTCTTGGGTTAATTCGGATGACGGTGAAGCTGTCTTAACATTTACAAATGCGGTCGACGAGGCATCTTTTCTCCAGTCTGCAAGTTATCATTATAATAATCAGAAGGTTTCTCAGAGTACGTTTAATATATATTTGTATGTATGAGTAGATTTATATCTTTCGTAAACTGGTGGAAACGTTTGTAATAAGTTTACAAAATTTCAAATATTTGAGTGAATTATGAATTCTGTAACAAATTGATTTAGTAAATAACATATGTACCCAGACTATTGTTCAAATTATTATTCAAATTGATTTAAATATTCTACCCAAGTCCGTAATTCCCAAATTTCCAAAAGTGAGAAAATACAGGAGAATGAGACATCCAGCCAAAATGATGACTCTACACGGTTTTGACCCACTCCGTTTTTTTGGTGGGTCCGAAGTTCCCGAATTTCTGGTAGGAATGTGATACATTTTTATGTATGAGTGGATTGTTATAAACTTGAAGGAGATTTGCTGCATGGTCCAAAATTTATGGCAAAAAAGCTGTACAAATATTGAAAGTACGAATGAATAAAGGCCACATACATATAAATATTGGCGTGCGACGGTAAATACAATTGTACAGTTACTTTTGCCTGGTTTACAACAATCGTTAGTTGCATATGCAGATGAAGTTTATTCAATATTTAAATTATCATCAGATTCATTTCAATAGTAAATAGACATTTTGATCTAAAAAAAATCGTTTCCGGGTGTGAAAAATTTGGAAGCAATCGCTGAGAATTTTTCAAACTTGATAAAATAACATCAATTTGCCCTCGTTTTCATAGACAGGAATAAAATTTATCACACATATTTAGTTATTACAAAGCCATTATATAAAGAGAGAAATGTAAAATGTGCATGATCGATGCTGTTATAATTTGACAAAACTAATCTCAAGAACAGATGCACTCGAAGAACTGATCTGGTGTGACGTAATGTCACCGATATTGCTTGCATAAGTATGTAAATACACCAAACCCTCTTTTTTCAAGCACTTATTAATCAGAAACAAGCACTTGACAAAATAACACACCTCAATTTATGTAGAAACACTTTAATCTGTATGCACTTGTGAACGCATTGCTCATTAATTTAGTTAGTGAACATTCGTCTAAATCATTCGCTATTAACGACTCGTAATTACTTATTAAGCGACATTTATATTAAATTATAACGCTACAAAAATACGAAGATGAATTCAGTTTTACGGCGAAATCTTGCAAAGCTTCAATGTGCACTAAAAAAGGATCTGAATTTTAACACTGGGAATTGTTTTTTCACCAGAAATTTAAACATTGGCGTGCAAGGTGCCGGATATGGTGGAGGACAGGTGACAAGATTTGACATTTTTAAATCGAAGTTATCTATAATAGGAGCGGATAAGCTTTTATCGATGGGAGTTTTGCATAATAATTTAATTTTTCAGCCAAAATCGGGTCTAATCCATGGTCCAGAGTTGATTAGAGGATCTGGATTTATTCAATTTTTGGTGGACGAAGGTTTTACATAAAAATTGATAACATTTTATCTTTGTAGTTAGGTTATCATGTAAAAATTTGTATATATATTTAATCCAGTTGGCCACGACATTAAGGACTACGGAGATTTGACCTTTGACGAGACGAGGGACAAAAGCCCAACGATTGTTGAAGGCTGTGTCCCACTAAATAATGTCGGGTCGATTTCAAGAGCTAATTTTCAGGTGAGCTATCCAGTTCATATTTTATGTTTCAAAATATTATGCAAATAAAATCAGTGTACGAAAGAAAGCCAGTTTGCAAATAAATGCAATAAATCTGACCAACAACTTGCGTATTTTTTTACAAGTATCAGGTATTGCTATTACTTTCTCTAATTACATATTTGCGCCAAGTACTCCAATAAATCTACAAGTTCAAATCATGTAGCGTATCATCTATTTTGTACATTTGGCGTCAAAACATGGCAATTTATCTTTCGAGTCTAAGGTTTGACTCATTTTATTTTGTTCGCAACCAAAAATAACCCGATTCGTATTTTTTGTTTGTTTCTTAACACGTGAATTTGATGGGATATATGAATTTTGAAACCCGATTTGAACCAAAGTCTATCTATTCTCATTGCTTTCTTATTTTTTGTATCTTCAGAAGTTGTCGTGTTTATTAATTGAGGAAATCTTAGATAGTTTCCAGCAAATTAAAGAATTTTTTTGAACATAATTCCATTTATCAGTTCTAATCTCCGAATTTCTGAAATTGCATCAAAATTCCAAAAGTTGAATAAGTTACTCTTTTTAAGTGTGAAACTAATTGTCGATATAGATGCAATTTCTTTGAAAATTACAGATTTACGAATCCACACGTAAAATCCTGTCCGACAACCGTGTCCCTCTCACTTTGGGCGGTGACCATTCCATCTCGATCGGGACGCTGGCCGCGGTGTCGGAGGCGCGTCAAGACATCGGGATCCTGTGGGTGGACGCCCATGCTGATCTGAACACGCCATACACGACAAACTCTGGAAATCTGCATGGCCTTCCGATGGGGTTTCATGTCAAAGAGTTGGCCCATGATTTCAAATGTTTGGCCACTCAATTTAACTGGCTGGTTCCGAGGTGAAATATTTTCAAGTTTGTAAATTCACGGTGACTTTTTCATCAAGAAAAATTTGCAAAAATTCGGTCTCCGTTTTGTAAGCGATGTGAACTCTAGTGTGCAAAAGTACATACAATTAATGATTTTTTGCAAGAATTTGCTTTCATTTGTGGCCTTTGGTCAAAAATTGGTTAACGCTTCAATTAGGATTTGTCCGTCAGAGTAGATTTTCACTACTCCTTTGGCATCAAATTAAATCATCAACTTTTCATGAATTTGCAGAATTCCTGCCAAAAATATTGCCTACATTGGCCTCCGGGAGATCGGTGGAAGATTTAACCCCAAAGCGCAGAGGTACATATTTTCATTTCGATTCTTTCAAATTTTAAAATTTCCTCTCAAAAATGGAAATATATTCACAGAGAGAATATAAAGCGTCTCGGCATCAAAACCTACACGATGGGGGATGTAGATCGGCTCGGAATTTGCGAGGTTACAAAGCAAGCGTTGGACCACGTTTCGCTCGGGGGCAGCAGACCAGTTCACCTCTCTTTCGATGTTGATTCCATGGACGACTTTGAAATTGGCAGTTGCACAGGAACGTCGGGTGAGAGCAACAATCTTTCAATTTTGATAAATATTTTTGATGTTAATTTTTTTTGTCAATTTCCGATTTGATTTACGAACATTTTTAAAAGTTTGAATAAAAATTTGGAATGGGGTGGTTTTATCTTCTATTTTGACATCAGTTGTAGGAGGTTTAACGCTCCGTGAGGCGCTCACCTTACTCGAGATGTGTCACGGTCATCTCGTTTCAGCCGATTTCGTCGAAGCCAACCCTTTACTTGGAGATCCTGAGTCTAGACAGCGGACAGCGGATATTTGCAAACATTTGCTCGGTGCGATGTGGGGATATCGCCGAGCTGGACTATAATCAAATTCTGGACAATTAAAGCATGGTTTTTAAAAATTGCAATATGTAACTTAAGAGTCATAAGTTATGGCGAAATGTTGTGAAATTAAATAAATTAAGCGATATAATTTTATTATTCATTTCAATTTTACGATTGACGATTCACAGTACACATTTTGACCTCAACTCAGCAGTCTTATTATAATTCCCTAATTTTTGCATATCAGATTTTTAGGGTAACTTTTTTTTATATAAATTTATTTCGCTAGTTTGGGAAAAACTGAAATAGTTCCCACAATTGGATCATAAAGTCTCACGTTATAGGGCCTGGAATCGGCTGAAATTTTGAATATTCTGGATCCTCCATATTCCGCTTAAAAAGAATATCACATTGTAATCGCTTTAATTATATGTATTTATACAGCTACGAGTATGTACCCCCGAGTTTGATGAGGGATTCCAAGGTAAAGTTTGTATTGGCGAAATTCCTAAAATAAGTACGAGAATAGAAATTAATAGCCAGAAATAACTCATTGAGCAATGTGCTAGCTCCGTTGCAAATATTTCTCCGAAATACAATTTTAAACTCAAAATTGACGTAATTTGTCCTCGTAATATTTCAATTCATGAAATTCATGCATATTTCATAAGTCTTTTGTACAAAAAACATTACTACCTGTTGTTCCCGAGTTTTATTTTTATTGAGCAGTAACTATAAAACTTGCATAGGTTGGAAATATGCATACAAACCTATTGTAATATAGCATTGAAGCAATTCACTTCACCCTTCTTACGTAAGTCCGAAACCATATAAGTTTACAGCAAAAATACTGATTTTGTGGCATGAGACCGTGGAATTACATTGATTGATTACATTGATCGGACTTATCCTTAAAGCGTTTATCCATATGTACATAATTCATACATCTACTTCCATAAAGCGTTAGTGTTAAGTTCTGCCTGGGTCCCTGTGGCTCTCAATGCAAATTGCCCCGTAGAGGAGACAAAGAAGGACGCGGAGCAACGGTTGCATGCATGAATTTTCTGCATGAGTCTCACTTCGCCTGCACGTGACTTTCACGTACGCTTGCCATCAATCTCAAATTAAATGTCTTTGTATATTTGCAGTGTGCAAGTAAATTGAGTGAGTGAGCAGTATACATACATACATCACTCATCAATAGTGGTTATCATGATAAGTGATCTTGATAAACACTATTAATTAATTATTTTAGTTTGAGAAACTCTACCCACAGCGAGTGGCATATCAATTCGAATGTATTTTTTACGCTGAATCCAACGCCATTAATGGTTTTGACCTCCGAGGCCCCGTGACCTTGCCATGACCGTGGTGTCCAAATATGGCTTATTCGTTATGTCGCATATCAATTCGAATGTATTTTTGATGCTGAATCCGTCAATAGCTTGGCGTTAATTGTAGAAGTTAACGGGGTTTATGGAACTTAACGGGAGCGTGAAGCGTGGGAATTTAAATAGTTAGCTATGCAGTTACTCCCACGCGACGGGAATTTAAGTAATTAACTATTCAACTACCCCCACAGGGGGAAATTAAATTGTACTGTGACCAGGTTAATTAAAATGCAGTATGATTTGGGCAAACCCTCACTCTGATGTATGTATGTAGTATGACAAAGTCTTCACTGCGAATTATTTAAAGTATAGTATGACGGATTTTTCGCTTTGGGCACACCCCCCACTCTAGAACCCGGCCTTGGCCGGGCTATACGCTAGTATATAAATAATCGTGTTGTCATTTCCAGTTATCCAGTTAGTGTGCATATTTGTATTTCGTAAATTCCTAAAGTAAATCTCAACAAGAAAACCGGACTCTAAATTCTTTAAAAAATCAAAAGCTATGTATTTGCGAAACTTGTTGATGCGGGTTATTTCAAGACATTTGACTTTCATAAACTCAAATGAACAAATTAAAAATTTACATACTGCATTTATTTACTTAATTCGTGATAATACATAATACGTATTACATATTTATTATATACACACCGTTTAATATTAAGGATTATACTAAACTGTAAAATTATATTACACTCTTGTGACCACAAATCACCATTGTTTAGCATCACTCGCGTTTTTTGCCATACTTCTTTTGTTTGGTCTCAGTTCTAGCCAATTGGTTAAAAGTGCCGCAATACATATCCCATTGATAACGTCGAGGATAACTTTCATTAAATTCAGCCACTGTTTGCTCAAATATATCCTTAATATGAACCAATTTCGAGTGGCATATCGTCGGGAAGAGGTGATGCAGTTGATGTGCCCCAAAGGTCACGAGAATCACCCAGAGATTATTCTCATGATGATCTCCAATCTTGTCTCGGGTCGCGTCGAGTTGGCATAAACTAATCATAAAACAGGAAAAAAGCTAATTACTAATTAATCAACTTTTTTCTATAATAATTATAGAAATAATTAATTAATTATCGATAATAATTATTATTATCGACCCATATGCAATGGCCGCGGAGTTGACAGAGGGACGATGTCCCCACAGTTATTCACTGTCCCCACCATCTGTCCATGTTATATAAACCCCTCTCTCCCCTATCCTACAATGTTATTAATAATGTCCCAAATGTCCTCCCGGCTTCCGCGGCCATTGCCCATATGTATTATATAGCAGAATTTTACCCAAAATCCGGATCCGGTCTTGCTTCATCACCATCATGAAATCTTTCAGAAAAACAAGAGTCATAATTAACTTCATTTAGCTTAATTAATTTTACTATAATTCCATTTACTCGTCGGGATGATGATGGGCAGCATTTGCTCCTTGAGTGAGGAAAGTAAAAGATGCTACCGAATGGATAAAAATCCATGACCAAATACCAGCCTATTACATAATTATCATCCCGTATTTCATTTGGGCATTACAAAAATATGCTCATTTTAATTGAATATTTTATTTACTTGAACCGTTGGAGCAATCATGACGAGTGGAACAAGTTGTAAAAATACGATTCCATTTTCAACTCGTAGTTTTTGTTCGCCCATCGCAATTTTAAAAATCCTTCTTCCCAGTTCCATCCAGAATCCGACGATGTATAGCAAATGCGAGTATATCACAGGTCCATACCACCGAAGGATGAAATTCTTCGGTCTGTTCGGCAGAAATTGGTACGTCGGGAACAATTCCAGTTCAATATCCATTAAAGTATTCGGGTACAAATGGTGGCTGAGGGAATGCGTAATTTTCCACTCGTGTGAGGACAACAAGCCCAAATCAAAATAGTATTTTCTCCAATTGTCCTTCAGATGGAAAAAATTGTGTGCTCCGATAAGTTGGACGGCAAGGAAAAAACCGGAAATGATTTTCAGAACGGTGGAGTCGAGCCATGTCCCGAGTAGCATACAGCCCAGAAACATGGCCACCATGCCGTCTTGCATAAGGATCACTTGGTTCGTGGGGCCAGTCCCAACCGTCGTCATGATTGGGGCAATCTTCTTTTTGAGTGTTTTAAAAAAGCCGTTTTCCTTGAACGTGTATGGCGAAATGCGAGGTTTAGTGGCATCTTGGACGTAAAATTTAGCCAGGTTTTTCTCCACGAGGTCCACATTGACGATGTGGGAGGTTTCAAATGCCTCCGTGATATCGGTCCCTTGAGTCAACTCGAGCCAATCTGGACCTCCGGGATGCTTATGGATGAATGGGGTCAGGTCGTACAGCTTATCATGGACGCGCCATAGGTTCCCGATATCGTCATCTAGTCTTTTGCCTTTTGGGATAAAGTTGTCCTCGTAAAATGCATGAATTTCTTTTTGAAAATTCCATTAAATTTTGAATTTAACATACTTTCCATCCAGTTGTACCCGGACCGAAATGGGGTTTCCCTTCCAGAAGGTGTTTTCCATATGCCGGGAAATGAAGAAGGTGGTTCTTCATCATTTTGGGCGATTTTTCCCGACAAATTAGGAGCCATTTTCTTGATTGAAATGAAAATCGGAGTTAAATTGTCACGAAGGATTTCCACCTCCACAACGTACGACGACCAATTATGAAATAGGTATTGGCATGAGTGAAACAGAATGATAATTACGGATGAATACACACAATAATGATATTATGAATGCATACATATAACGCCTTAATAATAGATAGATGTGTAAATTTTATACATGGAATGTAAGCATGATCGAATGACCTCGAATATCAACAGAAGGTCAAACTTATTGGGTTTAAGATATTGCATTATTGTATGTAGATAGTGCCATACGCCGTACTGTCAACTCTCGACCGATGTACATATACTGTCGTATATAATATTTCATTTCTGTACATATTCCCTCACTTTCAGTTCTCATAATCCAGATCAGTGCTTATCTCCAACTTGTTCGTGGATGGATGGCGGATCAGGCTTAAAATACTTATTTACATAATACCACAAAATTGAAAAACAGTTGGTACTGGCATCTGTAAAGCTGTTATTATTTATACGCCTCTGATATAACTTTGGTAGGATTAACATGTAAATCACTAATAATAAAGTGTTAGTATGATCCCTGGGTCCCTGGGTCCGTCTTCCAGCAATGCAACTCGCCCCACCACTGAACCATCGTGACTGGCCACCGCGGTACTCTCTTCTTCTCGCTCAGTCGGATCTGATCAACAGACCGACAACAACACATTTATCCACAAGTCCTCCAAGTTTCACGCCCACCTCCTCCTCCCACTTAAAACCAACCACAACCCAACAAAATAAATAACTACATACATGCATACATTATCTATATACATAAAGAGCTATTGTTAAGTTCTGGCTGCCTGGCTGGCTGGGTCCCTGTGGCTCTCAATGCAACTCGCCCCACTACTATTGAATGGAGTTTACGCAACCAGCGTGTGCTCCGCTACACCATTGAGCGTACCCATGATGACTCTGCCGCGACACTTTGTCTCTATCTTCTTGCAGTAGAATTGTAAACATACCAGCAGCATAAAATTCATATCCTATTCTCTGGAATTTTAACTTTTTTGCTATGCAGTCACCCCTCCCTCTGGAAATTTGAGTTTTTTGTTAGTTAATCACCCCTCTCTCTGGAAATTTAAGTGTTTTGTTTTTTAGTCACCCCCTCTCTGGAAATTTAAGGTTTTTGTCATTCGGCCACCACATCCTGTGGAAATTTAAACGTTTAGCTATGTAGCCACCCCACGCGACGGGAATTTAAGTAGTTAGCTATGCAGCCACCCCCACGCGACGGGAATTTAAGTAGTTAGCTATGCAGCCACCCCCACGCGATGGGAATTTAAGTGTTTACCTATGCAGCCACCCCCACGCGATGGGAATTTAAGTAGTTACCTATGCAGCCACTACAAGAGGGGGAAGTCAAATTGTTCCGTGATCAGGGAAATTGAAATGTATGATTTGATGCACGTACATATGTATTATGACAATGGACAAAGTCTCCACTGGGAATTATTTGAAGTGTAGCGTAGGGGATTTTGCGCTATGGGCACACCCCCTCTGGGAGCCTAGAACCCGTTCTTGAACGGGCCTCTACTCTAGTAGGTTATATAATCACTTATTATTCCCATGCAGCATGCATATCTGAAGAGGCATTATGTATGCACATATATATATACATATGTACATACGTATGTGACAGTCTGTGTGAACTTTTGAATCAAAATGAGGACAAAATGATGAATTTGACGCCCACAAACGAGAATACATTTCATCAAGGACAAACAACGTCTGGATTTTTTGCAATTACGCTGCGTTTAAGGATTTTGCGTGTTGGAATATAAATAAATTGTATGTGTAATATACTCGCAGAGTATGCATTGTTATCATTTTACATCATCATTTAGAAAAGCTAACCAGCGCCGCAGTATTATGTAAATATACGCAAATGAATGTATTTATATTCTGGAGGGTGCAATGTCACTATATCAATTTACTAGAAACCTGACATGTGTTGTAGATATGTACGATCCGACTTCTTCGACAAGTTCCAGAGTTTGCTCCGAATTTTCAATTAATTTAATTTGGACATGCTATATGAGGAAGGTACATGTTATGTTATGCAAGTATGTCAACTGTGGGAATTCTCTAAACCATTTCACATTATTCTTCACAAGTCACTGAATCTTTTATTAACACATTGATAAATAAAATATAAGAAATATGCTTAATTGGCTTGAAAAAAAACCGATGCTATATAGTGGAATTGAAAAACATCTACTTGATCCGGATAGGCGTCCGAGGTCACCATTTGGCCCCTTACATATGATATCACTGCAGGCAATTTTTTACCAACTGAATTACTGAATTTACTCATAGAACTTGACATGATTTTTAGTTTGTCAATCTCAAATTGAGATTCTCAATTATGCTTTGCCTGATGCAGAATAACTGCATGTTTATTCGAAAGCTTGCAAGATAATAAAAAATTCTCAATCAATATGTCTCCGACGGGGTTTGAAACGCGGTTAGAAGCTATACAAATACTCTGTAATTCGAACAATGCAAATAATTTATGTAATTAATTCATCCTTTTGGACTTTTACTGTCATTCCTAATTTTTTGCACATCAATTTTTTCGAAGATTTTTTAGCGTAACCTTTTTTTTATAGAACGTGATTTCACTAGTTTCGGAAAATAGTAACTTTAACAGACAATTATCTACAATTATCGTGAATTATGACTAGTGAAAGAGAGCATTTTTGTCCAAACAAATTTTGAGTTCTTTAAAAGCACTTCTTTTATACTGTTGTCGGATCTTATGCATATTATCACATCATAGGCAAAATATTAAAAAATCGGATTTACTGGTGTCGACCAAAAACACTAGGTCATTAAAAAAACATCATTCTTGTTTAGATTAGTTAAGGTCAGGAATAAAAAAGACATTTGAAACGAAGAATTTTTTTATGAAAAGGCGAATTTTTTGCATACGGATTTGCAACATTTGCGAATATTATGGGCGAAATGGCGAGTGGGGCAGTCTGCGTCGGCAGTAGATCCGAATTTTGTGTTGTCTATTCGGAAGAAGGTGGATGTTTAATTTAATTGTAAAGTGAAAATTTTTAACTTCAATTCATTTCCGGTTGTGCTTTTGAATTGAAATCTTGACAGAATTATTCATTAGACATTAGGAAATTATTCCTGGTGTAAAAAAGACGGGTTAAAAAGTGGACATGATGTGTATCTTGTGTGACGAAGAAAGGTAAAAAAATGTGATGTTTTGTTTTTAAGTGAAATATCTTTATTTAATTAGTGTTTAGTAAATTGGGAATTAATGTAAATGGTAAAATTAGTCGCTAATTGAAGAGGGAGAGAGTTAACTTTAATTTAACATCAATCGGCGGACGATTGTAATTTAAAATGGTTAGTAAATTATAAACTTCTTAAAAAAGCTTAGCAGAAACAGTAGAAAATATTATTATTTATACTATGTTGAATATTATCTTCTTCAGCAGATTATCATGAGACCTGATAAGTATGAAAATTCCTGAAACCTGCTCTCTGCTACCGCCACTACCACTAAAAACGGAAAGGATGAGGCTGGCAACTGTTTAAAATTAAGACGAAAATGACCGACAATAAACCTCTAATCACTTGTAATTTGATAATATTACTACGATTCTGTAACCGATTTACTTGGAATTAACTTGAAAACGCTTGGGTTTGGTGCAGATTCTGGTGAAATTCCCGTTTTCCAAGGAGTCGTTCCCTCCCTGCAAAAGGGGATCGGGGTGGAAGCCGTCGAGTGGAAGAGGGCATATGGCAGGACGACGAAACATGTTCACCTCCATCCTAGATTTGTCCCGTTTGACCCTCCTCCTTCCACTGGGGAGGGTGGGAGTATTACTTCCGGTGGAGAAAGCCCGGTCCTTACGTCACTATTGGATCAACCCATGCTCCATACTTTTTGGACGGATTGTTCTGTAAGTTAGTTAATGCTGAGGATAAGTTGGGCACAAAATTGGCTGGTGCTGATAACATTCCAACAGATGGAATGTCTCAGAAAGTAGAGTTTTTGAACAGGAAATCCATGAATAATAAATTTTCTTGTCGATTGTTACAATTTTGGGACAAGTCATGATAAATTTCGTATTTGCTTATACAAATTTTATTGTAATTTTTCCTACTAATCAATTAACAAGTTTTATGAAATGTGTTGCTAAATTGGAAACCTTATAAAATTCTAGGACGTCGAGGTGTATCGGGCCACGACGAAGGACGTAATTCAAAGCTGGCTCAACTCTGTGAAATCCTGTCCCGTTAAAGAATGGCTCATTATCCTCGTCGAACCCTCGGACAATAAAAAGACAAACAAGTTACTCCCCCGCTCTTCTGTGTTGGACAAGATCAAGAATGATTTTGCCCAAAAACAGACCGAACGCTGTGTCTGTGTCGCCGATCCGGCAAAAATTGATTCCAAATCGGCTGAAAGTTTAAACTCGATGCTGCACCGGATTCGTCAATTACTTTTGGCCTCGTATTCAAAAACTTTGATCAAATTTGAAGAGAATATGCGAGCCCAGAGGGAAAAGAGAAATGAGGCTGGGTGGAATTTTTGTCATTACTTTTTACTCCAGGTTAGATAGGATAAGGTGAGGATAAGTATGAGAGTAATTAATTAACAAGTTTATTTCGTTTTTAAGGAGGAACTCGCCTTTGTGCTGGAAATGTTGCAAGTTTATGACGAATCTTTAGTACAATATGACGAATTGGACGCTTTATTTACGCAATTTGTGCTAAATTCGCACTTTACGGGTTAGTTTTTTTGCAAATTCTTTGTGCCAAGTTTATAATTTCTAAAAAAAATGATGTTTTTCCTCTAAAGACACTCCAAAATGGCTGCTATCCTTTCAACGCTTCGGTGACCGTTGGCCCGCGCTAATCCTGTCCTCAAATTCGGGCGGAAACAAAATTATTCCTCAAATTCGGGAAACGATACGAAACTCGAGCGTTTCCCTATTGAATTTTCGCAACTATTTATTCGCCAGACAAGCCATTCTTCTTGTGAAGCAGAGGAGACTCAACGAGTTGGCGCAAAGGTCCTTAGCCTTCCTCCACATTTGTATTAATGAGCTCAACATTTTGGACGTGACGTTCAGCGAGGAAGGGTCAATTTCGTGTTGGGTTTTTGTCTCGTGTTTAGAAATACTGGGGACTATTTCAAACCAAAATTTAGCCATATTGTCAGCTACAAATGCAAATTCTTCTATGACGAATAATAAACTGGAGGAAGATTCGGAAGTGAATTCGAGCCAGGTGGAGATTAACGATGGAACTAAACGGAAAGGAAAGACCCCACAACATCATGCAAATCAGCTAGATTTTTCCGTCCATACTGCCTCCCTGTGGGACTACGCGAGAGAGAAGGTATTACAGATTTTTTGCGAATGATTACTTGGAGCATGCATACGCGTATTTATCCTATTTCTAATCTTACAGCTTTACGAACTGGGCAAATTGTGCGGCCTGCTGCCAAAAAGTCAGTTGAAAAGTGATCATCTCCACAAAGTGATAAGTCTGTCGTCTGGACTGAGCCCGTTTGAGGATTTTTCCAACTCTAATGGAAACGGAAATGGGTCAGGAGAGATTAATAATTCTAATTGTAATAACCATTCCGGTGACGAGATGCAACTTCCCCTCCCGGAATTACCCCCAGGAGAAGAAACTCCGATTGAAAAATTGAAAAATGCGTTATCGTCAAAGGAGAAGTTTCAACATCATTATCTGGTTAATAAAATTTATACTTATTATGAAAGCTTTACAAAAATTATAATTATTAAAAAGTTAATTAATTGTAATTTTAACAATTGTTACTGTAATTTTGATTTCCTGTATTCAGGAGCTCTGCGAGCTGGCCATGGGGACGTATAAACATATCGGACGTCTTCGTTCTGCCCGAAAAGTAGGCCTCAGCCTCGCCTCTTACTACATGGAGTTGGGTGACTACGGAAAATCCATCGTCTTTCTGACGGAGGCGTTCAACACGTTCAAAGAGGACAGGTGGACAATATTGACGATTGATGTGCTGCTAAAACTTGCTCAGTGTTACGAAGCTGTGAACGATACGGACAGGTAATCTAACTAATTGTGATGTGTAGCTTATCAAACTTGACAATAATTCTAATTTTTGCAGATATATTCGAACCTGTGCACAAATCGCATGCTCGAAAGCGATCAGCGAGCCGGAAAGGGGTCACTTTTTCGACGAGATGATGACCTGTTTGACAAAGTTGGAGAATAATGGTGTGTTATATTTATTTAATTACGTAGTTAATTATTGTAACCAATAAAGTAATTTAATTGCAGATCGATTCATCATGTCACCCACGGAAGAGACGTTTCTCATCACCTCGGTAAAAGTGGAATCTTCTGGAAAAATTCATGGCCCGAGTTGCGATGTGGTCGTAGATTTGAGCCTCGTTTCAAACCTACCTCGCCCAATTGTGAGTAATTTGGTGCAAATGGCGATCGTTGTGTGTGACCATGTCCCAAAACAGGTCAATTACTTCACGACAGGCACTTTTGTGCAAGGGTGAGGAATTGTTTAGTTAAAATTTTGCAATTGTCGGAGACATTTTGATAATTTGAATTTTATTTTTTAGGGAGAATATTTCCAAGGGTGGAAAATCTGGAGGTGGGAAGCAACAGAGAAGAAAAGATTCCTTACCCGAGCCGGATGTGGTTGAAAACTTGTCCGGAAAACAAGCTCTTGCCCGCAAAGAGAGCACGACGCCTGCATACACCTGCGAAGACGAGGACGTCGCGCTCGCCCTTATGGAAATGAACCCTGCCGTGAACATGGTCGATTTACGACAGCAATTTGAATCTGGAGGGAGTGGAACTAATAAAGTGACGATGGTGGGTGTGGGAACAGACGTGAAAAACAATGAAAAGTATATTTCTGGGAAGTTGACGTGCCATAATCTTCATCAATCGTTAAGGTGCGTGTGAGATTTGCAAAAAATAGGCAACGATTTATCAGAATTTTTGCAAACACTGTAATCTGATTTTCTTTCGTAATATTTGTAAGTTTAACCTGAGGGATTTTTTTTCTCACATAGGAGGAAAGACAGCAGCCAAGTACAAGGAGAGACGCAAGTGTTCAAGACTGATTTTAGCCAAGTGGCCAACACGAGAGATATCACAATACATCCCGGTGCTAATAATATCACGTTGTCGGCAAAGGTATAGAGAAAATTATGGTTGAAATCATGGCTATAATTTTAATTTATGCCTTTGTGGGTACTAGGTTTCCATTCCGGGGAACTACCGTCTCGCCCAGGTATCCATTGGAGTCAAGCATTTTGAGCTTCTCTCTCCCCGACTGGGCTGCCGGTATAAATTTTCTGCAACTCGAGAACCACCCAACATTTCGGTGCAGGCTGGAAATTTGGTGGCGGGCATTGACCAAGAAGTCGTGATCAGGGTGGACACGGGGAGTCGGGTTATCGATGAGGTACAAGTTGTGATGATTTTATGCATCATAACTTAATTTTGTAATTAGTAAGCTTAAACCCGAGATAATTAAAACGCTGTACTAAATATTTTCAAACTTGTGCGATTCTAGGGAATGGTGCTACTCGTAAGGTCGTCGTTAGGCCTAAAATTGAAACACATCTCATCGTCCTCGTCCGACGCATCGTCTGAAATTGCAATCTCCATGCCACCTACGGACCCCTTCGTCTCCGCCTCGATCCCACTCACGGTTAAAGCAGACCTCGCCACGCAAAAGGACAGCACCGTATTTGAGCATAAAGTATTAACCCGAATTTATTGTCATATTGAGAAAATTAGTTAACGATTTATTCTAATTTTAGTTGATCGTAAAATGTCCATGGACCGGCGACGAGAAGAAGCTCTCCCTCACTTTCATCCCCCCATTTATCTCGTCGTACAAACTGCATTCTGTCGGGCAGCGGAAATTCGTGCAAGTCCTTCTTCTCGGGAATTCGGACAACTCTTTAAAAGTCTCGGAACACCAGTTGACCGTGCAATCACCTAATTCCCAAGATATTCCGTTAGTCGCGTTGAATCCGAGGTCACAATCGCTGGTAAATAACGTAACTTATAATTGTACGACCGGATTTTCCAATTGTAAAGTTTTGACAATGTTTCTGGACTGATGATTAGATTTTGGATATTGGCAAGAGCGCTGCATACATGTGGGAGATTGGAGTTTTGGAGTTGGAAGATCAACTTCCATTCCGGCTCGAATTTTCAGTTAAATTTAAAGCTGACCGGAGGGAGGCGGAAATTTACAAGTATTACATTTGCTTGCAGAAATTCAAGGTGGGGTTTAATCATAATATTTTTTCCATATAAAAAAGTTATGGTCTTTTAAAAAATAATTTATGTTTTTTTCTCGGGGTCAGACTCTGTATGAACTAAAATCGAAAGTAGAGCCGCACAAGGGGACAGAATTCTGTAGAGTGGGAAATATGTGCTCAATGTTGATCGAAATCTCAAAGTTTGGGAAGAAGCAAGTTGACGACGGAAATTCTCAGCAACCACAAAACTCATTGATGTACGAGGTCCGAGCGAGGTATGGTATATTTAAAACATTTTTATTAAAACTATTCGTTTTTATTAATTGACCTGTAAAAACGGTCAAAATTATATAAGCTGTAAAACTTTTAAACCATACACACAAACTCATTCAGTCTCATTTTTTCAGTCAGCACATGTGGGCTATTTGTGGAAGAAGTTCAGGCATCGTATCACTCGACGACGAAAATGACGACGCCACCTTGCAACAAGTCAATCTCGACGTGATGCCGATGACTCCGGGGTATCTTCCCTTGCCAACGGTTCACTTGTCGAACTATATTCCAGCGGATCAGAAAAGTGGGTTGATTGATTGATTGTTAACTGCAATTGTATGTAAACTGCGTGAACTTTACAAAAAACTCGAAAGAATCTTTCAAAAGACGAAGTTTCGAGAAGATGCGTACCATTTGTAACCTAAAGTCTGAAATTTTATAAAATTTTGTTTTACGCAGTCTACGTACTCTTCCTCAGTTATAAACTCAAGGGATATTTAAATCTAAATTAATGCTAATTTAGGTGGTTCTTCCGTATCTAACGTCCCTAAACTCGAACCTTTTAACATCGGTCAAGTCTACAATCGAAGCAAAGGGTCGCAAGTCCACATCCTCCCCCCACCGCAGGCTATGGGAAGTAACACTGGTCTGAGTGGAGGTTGCGGCAGCAGCATCGGTGCAGGATCATCGCTGACCGCGATTGACTCGCATTTTTAATCGAGATTAAAAAAATCCAGCTTTAATCATTTTAAATTATTCCTCCAAAATATTACATTCCTTAATTAATCAAGTTCAGTTAAACTTCTACCCAGTGACATATCGATTTCGATTTAAGCACAAGTTTCGTATCCTCAATGTTCAACTCAATTTAGTCAAAAGTTTACTAAATGCCATACTTGTTAAAATGTAAAAGGGTAGCATTTGAAAAATGTGAATTTGTTTTCTTTTTCCCAGGAATTTATGTGAGCTTTGTCATATCACGGAATATTATATGTCATAGTTGGCAGTTATTTTTTTTATAGATAAGTTGAACTCACGCCAGACTCGAATGAATAATAATGATAAATAGCCATCCAAACCAAACCAAACCAAAACTCCAATCCGATTCAAGGACAAGAATGGAATGGAAATGGTGTGTGCAATATTATGAAAATATTTATGTAGTGATAATTAGCATTGTTCTGCTTATGGAATCCGTGCTAAAAACTGCACAAGAGAAATTGTTATTATGATTATTAGGAAGTGGCAAATTCACAGCAATCATCACAAACATATGAATATGAAGGGCGGATGTGATTAAGTGATGACGAGATGACATGACATGAATTATTATAAGTACAGTTAGCTAAATGATCATGTATTTGACAATGATACGAGATTATTACGAACTCTGGAACTAAATATGTATTACATACACTTAATTAATTAGTATATCTATTGCTGGACTGGATGGATATTGTTAGTTGATGATCAATGCAACTACTAAAAACCAAGCCACACTAGTGAAAAAAGTAATTGTTGTTAACTCCTCGTAGTAGTAAAAGTTGTAGAAATTGTTAACGGAGGAATGTATCTCTCTCGGAGTTGCTTATATATTATTGAGTGGACAAACTGTAGGCAAATCGTTGTCGTCTTTGTGGCCTTGTTGTTAAATACATTTTTAAAAGGAGGAAATGCAATGAGATGTGGAAATCTCGAGGGAGAAATGGATGATTTTGTTTTAATTATGGAATTAATTTTGGTACGGGACTCGCTTTTGTGTAATGGGGAATTTATTTAAATGTTAAGAGAAGCTCAATATAATTGTTGTAGTTAATTGAGAGGCTTAATTATTATAGTTTATTATATATTATTTAGTTCGCTTTTTAAGGGGAGTCACGACTTGCATGCATCACATATTAATTAAGATTTATCAATTTCGAATTTTTGTAAGTTTCCGAAAGTTTCCAAAGATTACGAATGTAGTTCGGGCTATGAATATTGTTACACCGATCAAGAACATCACTTTACTTGCAATTTAATTTTACAGAACTTGCACAGTTTACTGAATTGCAAAAATTAAGAGAGTGTATGGTATTGCATCATACATATTATTTATTCCGGAAATTATGTTTTAAGTTATAAATTTACATATTATGTGTTGTATCATCACGTTAAAAGGAGCTGAAAAAATAATGAGAAATACATATGCATTTCGATGTTGAAGACTACATGTAAATGTAAAAGTTGTTCTTTTCATGACTCATATTCTCAAATTTATCAGGTAATGACTAATAATTTGGGGTATCGATTTATTGGAATATTTATGCATTTCGATGAAGTGGAACGTAATTTGTGATGGGTTGCTTCCTTTGGACGTTGCGTGAAGAATGTGACAAGTTTTCGGACAAATTTGAGTGATTGTGAGATTACACGTGGGAGGCCTTGACCCATGCATATGCACCATCAAATCGGTCACATCCTTTATGCACGTCCCTCTCTGGATTGATTGGGAAATATGGAGCAGTTTACATTCGTAGTATCAAATACTTATTTATTTGTGCTTCTAAAATAAATAAGGAAAGTGGAAAACATATTGAGGTACAGTACAGTAAACACAAATGAGATGGATGCATGAAATTGGAAAGTGTCCAGTTTTAGTTTGACGAACGAAACGCTAGAATTGATTCCAAGTAAATATTGATAAGACTTCGTTAACTGTAAATATTTCAGTTTGCTACTGTTATCAATATAAATTTTAGGGAAGGTCATTAGATATGCAGTTTAAACATTTTCTAGTTTATCATCATCTAATAATTTTAGTTAATAAACCCAAACCAGAATTTGAGACTCGAGATTTCCTTATCTTTTGTACACAATGAACCCAAGGCAGTAAATTATTCCCTGCTGGAATCAGGATTGAATATTACTAACTCGTGCAGATAAGAGCTCATCCATTTCAGTTCACTCCAATCCGTTAAAGTTGCCAGGATTTACATACAGAAAAAATCAGCCAGATGAAAAGTTTGCATGAACTATTTTTATACTTTTGACACGAATTTGTGCAAATTTGACCGAACTGGGTAAGAAGAAAAAATTGTACATAATATATCTTATCATGATACATAAAAAACTATAAATTTCAGTAAATTGTCGACAATGCCACTTCCCACGTGTCACACGTGTCAACGGGTCTTGACCGGAGACGTTTCAACGACCTCGGCCAACCAACGTTTCCTTGTTCGAGTTCAAAATTTCGTCTGCTTAATTTCCCTCATTTGTATCCTTTTGGGAATTTTGGCAACGTTCCTTGTTCTCCACTTCGTCCCGGGACACGAGCACGATTTTCTGCCCGTTTTTGTGATCGCGGGGGGAGTAAACTTACCAATTTTGGGGGTCATCCTGGTCGCTCAGATAATTCTTCGGAGGAGATTTGACAGGGGAACTGCTTCATCCCCCGGAGAAAGAGACCGATTGTTGGGCGAACGACAGTGTCACGATTGCCAGAGGAGTATTGGGATGGGAGGACCGAGCACTTATCTCCCATCGTCGTTATATCCGTGAAAGGAAATTTTGAGATTTTTGAAATTTTACATATAGTTTTTCGCAAATCGTATCCATGTAAAATTAGCTTTTAGTATAAAATGTAAATTATGGGCATGAAATTTAGATGGAAATCGTATAAAAAATAAGTTTATATTGCCAATCGAGTAGGTTTATGAACAACTTTTAAGGCTATTTAAGACTTCTTTTTTTACAAAATTGATGTCAAAAAGTTACGAAATTCTGTAATTTTGTAAATGTTTTTTTTATCCTCGTTAGTGTGCTAATATGAACAAGTGTTGTGTGCCGTTTTTAGCGTCATGGTCAATATGACCAGACCAGTAGTGTCACTGTCATGGGTTGGCCTTGACCTTTCCTGTTACTAAACATAAAGGAAGAAATTCTGATTTTAAGACTGACTCTAAAGAGATTCGTGGCTTTTGTAGTATGCCAATGTCGTTCCTATGAACTTCAAATCTTGTATGCATTACATTTTTAGGTAAATATTACTTACGCTGAGAAATCCAATTAACACCCGTCTACTTTTAATTATCACTTCGCCCTCCATTCCATTACATATGATATGGTATGTTACTTCCATTAAATATTATGTTTACTTATGCACCGTTTTTAGTTTGGTAAAGCAACGACGAAGAAGAAGAGATAATTGTGTGAATTGTAAAGTTGTACGTTTTTCTGTAAGCAACTAATTCAATAAACACTTTCAGTTCTTGTTACATACTTTGCGGGCTCGGTTTTACTATTGGATTTTATTTAAGAATTAATAGTTTTGTATACTTCATAATTTTAATTTTTTGGGGAAAAATGCCACTAAAAATTTTAAAGTGTGGGACCCACTCGTTGCAAAATGCGGCGATGGTGATTGCGATTATTGATGTGGTAAGCGATAAATATAAATTTTATGTCGCCAGCCATTCGGTCCAATCTAACACTTTCAGTATTATTCAAAGTTTGCAAGATTTTCTAAAACGACTTTTAACTCCTACTTAATTTTATTAATTCCGAATTTCTGTAATCTGATTTAGATTTGCACTTCCGTCCTGCTCATCCTTTTCGTGCTTGGGTCGAGTATGATGTTAGCATTTGAAATTATCGGCAAGTCCCACAACGCCACAAGGGTGCTGGATATCGTGACGGATGATGTTTTTGGACAGAGGCAAGCGTCGTATAATACGGTTCGAGGTGTGCAATTTTTAGTTTTTGTGCACCATTTTTTATGTGAATCGCCTGCGTATTTTGCTGCACTTTTTTCGTCATGAATAGAGTAAACTAATTTCAGACATAAACCAGTAAATGCTCCAGTAAATTTGCAAACCTACAAGTTCACAATTACCATGAAATAAAATCAGCGTAAAAGTTTATCCCGATCAAGGGCGTTTCCTAATTTTTATAATAATTTTTCCACAAATTTTGCAAAATTTTTTTGGTTTCAAACAAACCTAGACGAATCGCTTAAATGCCAATTCGAAATATATCGGATAAATAAAATAGCGAAATAAAATAGTTAAATATAGCGAGCGAAATTAAATTAAGAAACCTGGATCAGGACAATTAATTTGATGATATGTGGTTTTTTAATCTACGAATTTCCTCAAAAACTTGCAAGTTTAATGAGTGTACTGGGTGATAGATAGATATAATAAATTTCCTCGCTGTAAAGCTAATTACTATTTGGCACAGTTTTTGCAAATATTTTTACTCTTTTGTAGAGAAAAAGGACGTTGCGGAGGACATGGGTGTCTTTTTGATTATAATGTTTCTAACAATTGTTGACTTCATCATCTCCTGCATATTTTTGGATGGGGTGAAATCGGTTTGTTACTAAATTGCGGATTCAATTTGCACGTGCAAAATATACTTTTTAAAATGTGTATTTATTTAGAGAGACGCGAATAAGTGTCAGATCTGGCTGAACATCCGAATGGTTATCATTGTCGTGTTTAAAATTGTGGTCCTTATCAATCTCGTGTATGGAACTTCGTGGATGTCTGCGATACCCGATATGATTTTTACGGTGTATCGTCTCGTAGGTAAATTCAAAATTTTATCCGTTTGCAAGCATTTTCTAGCAATTTTAATATTAAAATATCAAACAATTGCATCAACTTTTCCAAAATGTTATTATATTTTAGATGCACTTGAAAATGCAAGTATCATATAAAAATTGAGACAGGCATGAAGAATTTCAGGATTTTTTATATTTTTTACGAAACAAAATTTCCAACTTGTGTCACAGATGTTATAAAAATTTTCATTTTTAAAGAAGTTTGACACTTTTAACTAGAAAACTCAAGAAATCATTTATGCATTTTATCTGTAAAAGATTACTACCTTGTCATTGGGAAGAACTGGGTAAGCTTAGTAGTCCATCCATGTTATGGAAATTCTTTATTGCGAAATTGCAAGGCAAATATTTAGTATCATTTTTTTAAAAAATTGCAATAAATCATGAAAAAGTCCCAAATTTCAATTTCATAAACAAAAGTGTCAAACGGAAAGATACTAATATTTAGCTTGATTACAACAAGAAAACGTCAATATTGAATAGAAGACCTTGAAAAAATTGCCCAAATTTTGTTTATAAATGATTGTATTTAACATTTTACAAATAACATTTGTAAAACAAGTCTGTTCAGTAGAAGATTGACAAATGATTTTTGCACAATATCTTTACTGATGTCTAAATTTTCCATTTAACAGGTTTGTACATCGGATTCAAGTTTCTGCGCGAATTGCAGGCCCAAAATAAAAATGCGTCGAGTGAAAAAGGACTTGGAACCGGAACCGGGTCGTTTTTGAACTTACCCTCAATTGCCATTTCTGGCGCAAGTGGTGGAGGTGCTGGTAGTACTGGTGGGATGGAAGGTCACGGGTCAATCTCTTCGGCAACTTCGTCCTGTGGTGGTATCACGTTAACCGTTCCGGATAAAAATGGGAAGCCAAGGTCCGGTCTCAGCCAACAAGGTCTTCAGATCGAGGAAGTCACGGCAGATTTAAAATGATTTTTTTTGTGCAATGAATTTGCGTAATGAATAAAAGATTTAAGAGGAGTATGATTCTGTATGATTTGCATATTTCGAATTCATAAAACATCAAACTTTTTATATTACAGGATGAAATAAGCAGATCATGCCTATATATGTAACTTAACTAAATACATACTTTTAAGGGAGAAAGATTAAATTCTTAAATTTCGAAAATTTTTCGAAAAATCTGTGAATGCAGTCAAATATTTAAATATATTTATACAACCACTCAAATTGCATTATTTTTGACAAATGTTTCAGAGAAATTTCACTGTGCTTTCCCAATAATAAATGTAGCAAATATTGTAGAAAATTTTGTAAAAATAAAACAAAAAACACTAGCCGATTTATCACATAAAAATCGCTTTTCACAAAACAAGCACCGTGTAAAGAACCCTGTGTGTACATATTTAATTTACTCAGTTTTTGAGTGACACTGGACCGGGGTGGTAAAGTAAACATGTGACAAATGAATTTGATGGCATTTTATTTTCATGGAGATAAATTAGACTCAACGAAAGGATGCGAATAGTTGATGTTTGTTAATCCACGAGAAATACTTATGTGTTGCATGAGATGTAAAAGCTTTTATAAAAAATTTGTGAATTGGCTTAATAAGTTGCACTCATTTCATGGCAAGCTTCTGTCCGCTTTTTGCTTTGTATGTAACTACTGAAGTCGGGTGCTATGTTTTGCAAAGATTTTTTTCCACAAGTCACTTTTATTAGTGGAAGTGTCATGTAATGCATGTAAATAGTATGCTAGATTTGGTTGGATGAAACGAAATGACAAAGCCAGTTAAACCGTCATGGCCAAAATCATTCCTCGACTTGGTCTTGTTCGTCAAGTTGTATATACGATCTTTAGGTTTAGTTGAGTTGTGAAATCAAAATTTGGAGGAAATTTTGTTTCATAATTCATACATTCGTAAATTTTATGGGTATACATTTTATGGGTATACATATTTTTTAAATTTAAAGATGTGGTTTTAGTGGGCACTACAGATTTCAAATGCATGTATAAAAAATTGCAAGTTTCTGTTCATTTCTAAAAATTTTCTTAAAACTAAAAAATGGGTGAAGGACGGTGCCGATGTTGTTGCGTAACGTATCAAACCCGGGTGACTTTATTTGCGGTGACAAATGTCGTAAGCAATTTCGTTGGTTATTTATTTATTTGATTTTTTCGTGTATTTTAAAGAAATCGTGGTTAATTCGTGTCAATTTTTTTCGTGAACTAATAGTTTCTGACCACCGTTCAACTCTTCCTTCCCATGATCTCGTCCAGTTTTATCCTCTATTTCACCGCAACGAAGCAATCTTTTCAAGCCAAGTATGTCTTACATGAGGAAACAATGAGCATTTTTCAGCGAATTCCTTCCATCGTATTACGACCACCGGATTCCAGTCAAATCACCGTGGAGGATGTTGGTAATTGGCAAAATTTTTAATGTATATAACTTTACAAACATTTGTAAAAATTTAATTGAATATTTTAAGACAAACTTTTACGCCGTTGATTTATATTTTCCATAACTAGCAAAAAAAATTGAGAACAGGTTTTTTTAAAGTTTACGACTCAACAACAGCAGGGTTTTCTATATTTCTGAGAGAATCGTCTCATTTGAAATGAGAAAATGAGTTTTTAAAAATGAGTCATTTTTAAAAACTGCAAAATTAACAGACCTCTTTGAATGATCCTAGGTGACTTTGCATAATGCACACTCAGATAATGACCATATCCTTCATTACATAATAGCATAACACGTCTTTTGTATAATTACTGTGTAATATTCATGTAGGACATTATCAGTTCAAATCAGGTAAATTATGCAATAGAGATTTATGCATAAAAAAATTATGCAGTCACCGAAAACGCTTTGAATTGGGAATTATTTTTGGTAAACTTATTTGTTACCAAACTTATGATTAGCATTATGAACATGCAAAAACATTTCCGATGCTTTCAGGAATGCCACACTCTCCGCTACAGTCAGACTTGCATGTCTGGGCGTCCTGGATATTCGTGAAGGTGGTCATGTTGGCCTACGCTGTGGTTTTGTACACGGGGGCGAGAAAGGTTAGCGTTGTAAAATCTTTTTCATAAAATCTGGTTTATTTTATTAGATTTTCATAAAAAAATTTCATAAAAAATTATTTCGTAATCGTTCGATTAAAACCAGTTGGGAACCACTGAAAATATCTGTATCACAAATTGTAATTCACAACTGCGTTACACGTCTACTAAAAAAATATTTCCACTTTCAGAAATTTTTGTTTCCCAATAGAAAAACTTTTTTTTCTGAAATTTCAGAAAAGTTACAACCTTGTCGTTTCCTGGTTCGCGTTAAACATTCCAATGGCCCTCCACTCCGCCCTGCTGCTCGGAATGGACGCCAGTCTCGGCCTTTTGCGTCGAAAGCCGTTAAATTTCCAAATTTATCAAGGAATTCTTGTTGCGTACAATTTCCTGGGCCTTTTGTTCGTCTACTTTTTTCTGAGGAGGATCCACTCTCGGAGAGGGGTCAGGTACCACCCAGAGTTTAAGAGGGATGGGACCGATGGGAAATTTAGGGATCCGGCCAGTCTCCATTTGTAATGTAATTTCGTTGCCGTGTACAAAGATCTTATCTAAAAAGAAAGCTTAAGTTAAGCTTAATGAGTAAAAACCTGAAATCCAATTAATTTTTACTGGGTCAGACGTGGGTTTTTACGAGTTTTAGTTTTTTTCCTCAAAATGTTTTCTTTCTTGACCAATTATCAACAACAATCTGCACAAATTGTGTTTCATTTTTAAATTTACAAAATGCCCACAATTTCGCAGCCGTTTTGCACTAATTTTCAAAAATTTTGCTAACGAGAGATAAATTTTTTATGCAATTTTATCAAAAATATTAACACAGTACATAATTTAAAAATTTCAACTTGCAACTGTTAGTACATTAATCCAAGATTAATTTATTTTGTATCATATTTTACTTTATTGATATGATTGTACGCCTTTTTCTAAAATTTTGAAAACATTTGTACGTTTTAATAGGGTTAGATAATTCTGTTAGTAGATATTCGAGAAAAATAGTTGGATTTCTGGACATTTGCTTAATTAATGAATACATGCACATTAATTATTTTGTAATTGTTCTGTCCCCGCAGCATGTATGGGCCGTCACGACGAGACTTTGAAGTTGATGAACGCTACTATATCGAAGAACATTAAAAATAGTGAGATTATATACGTATGAAAATTATGAATATTATAATTATTAAATTACTGGTCAAGATTAATGGCGGGGGATGAATTTGTTTGTTTAAAATTATTGTAAGCTATATAACCTGCCGAAATAAAATAAAATAAATTTCATAACCATATTTATCGACTACGGCTTCATTGAATTATTTGAAATAATTGCAAATGCTACGAAATATTCTTATACATTCACCGTAGTAAAAAATAGCAAAGATTGGGGAGGAAAATCGGCTCCAAATGTTTTTATTTTGTAAACGGTTGTATAATTACTGTGCATACAAACTGATCTATCGTTACGTTTAAAATATTCATAAATTCCTTTTTTCTTCTTTTGGCGTCAGAATTACACAATTTTTTCCCACAGAGTGATCAATAATTGTCAAAATGTGAATTCACATCAGGGATGGTCATAGAAATACAAACAATTACATAAACCAGACACAACTTTTTACATAACAGATTTATAACATATCACGCCTTAAAAAATGTACGGGAGATAATCTTTGATAAGTATTTAACCATATCCAACTCACGAGTGTTCATCTCATGATAAGGTGAAAAAAATGTGTGTGGCATTCGAAATCTAATCACACAATTGTCACTGCTGACATATCGCTAATTTAATTGATTTATGCAAACTGGTTCAGTTATAAAAATAGACCCGCATATATAAAGTGTCATTGATAAGCAGTTTGGATAACTGGACTGGACCACTCTGGATTTTAGAGTGTAGTTTGTGACCACATAAAAATAAAATGTTTTCGAAAAGGGTGGTCCCGATTTTGGTGATTGTGTCGTTAGCCGTGGTGGCCGTTCGGGGACAATGGGAAGCGCACTTTACGGGTGGGAGGACATCGATCGTGCATCTTTTTGAATGGAAGTGGAATAATATTGCGGATGAGTGTGAACGATTCCTGGGGCCGTATGGATATGGTGGAGTTCAGGTAATTCTGGTATTTAGTTTTGGGTGTGGAAGTAAGTCGAATTGAAGAAATGGATGGAATGAGAGATTCAGCTCGAAATTAAGGACAGGAGTTGAAAGTCCTGTCGAATTTTGAGTAGATTGAGTCGAATTTTGAGAAGAAATTTTGAGGGAGTATTTATTGTAATGATCAGTAACGAGTCAATCCATTGCGTCAAAATCATGAATCTATAACAGTAGAAATATAGATTCATGGTCGAAATTAGCCTTCGTTGAGTTTTATGTGAGTCAACTTAAGTGTGTAAAATGCTCTTTTAACAAATAGAAATTATTAAGTTTTGTATTGAAATTAAATTGAGTTATTTAAATTTTGCTAAATTATCACAATTTTGAAATATTTTATGAGACTACAGTCTTTTACTTTGAAAACTAAACACTAAATATGATAATTTTCGTAAATTTAATTTTGATAATATTTATGTGTAAACTTTTCTACAAATGTTTCCAGGTTTCTCCCCCGGGTGAAAATGCGGTTATCAATGACCCCTTCCGCCCATGGTGGGAGCGTTATCAGCCCGTCTCTTACAAATTAGATACTCGATCAGGCTCGGAAGCAGAGTTTGCCTCGATGGTTCGTCGATGTAACACGGTCGGTGTTCGTATCTACGTTGACGCCGTGATTAATCACATGACTGGTTCGGGAAGCGTTGGCACCGGGACGGGAGGAAGTCCGTACAACGGAGGAACGAAGGAATACCCGGGTATGTTGCTCTGGGTGTAACTTGCAAATTTTTGCAATTTTGTGCAGTGCAATTTTTTGTATCTTTGTAGTAATGCAAGATTAATTTAATAATTAAATTTTTCAGGTGTACCATTCGGACCGCTGGATTTTAACAGTTATCCAAACGAATGTCCAAATCCGTCAGGATCAATCGATAACTATAACAATCCAATCGAGGTAAGTAGCAGGCTTATTTATGTGAATAATATCAATACGGAAACTTACGAAAAAATGAAATTCGAAACATTTCGAAAGTTTGATAATTTGGTTTCCGAATTATTTCTACTATAGGTCAGAAATTGTGAGCTTGTTGGTCTCCGAGACTTGAAAATGGGGACGGATTACGTGCGCGGAATGCTTATCGGCTATCTCAATAAATTAATTGGTTACGGTGTGGCTGGCTTCAGGTAATGCGGTATTTACAAATATTTTACTTATTAGCTGTGCCAATTTGTTGGAGAATATTTGGAATATACTTAATTAGGTATTTGAAGGATGCAGAAATAGCATTTTTATGGTTGATTGTCAACATCGGTTAAATACTCTAAATTGTATAAGTTTAGGGTCCGAATAAAGAATTCAGGATTTTTTGAATTTATTACGCTAATATTAGATAACCAAATTGGTGTCGTGCAAGTCTATAAATATTGTAAAAACGCGTCAAGTTTGCAGCTCTGACGTCACTGTGCTCGTATCCTTACCATGTGAGCCAACACCGTAGGATAGGAGCACAGTGACGTCAGAGCTGCAAACTTGACGCGTTTTTACAATATGTATGTACATAGTTGATATTTGTCAATCAAAAGCTTGCTTTTCAAAATATTTCGAAATCCGAGAAAGTATGAAAATTTAAGAAAGTTAGTGTGACTTTAAATGAATTTGATTTTTAGGGTGGACGCGAGCAAGCACATGTGGCCTGGCGATATGCAAGCCATCTTTTCTCAACTAAACAACCTGCCAACGGACCACGGTTTTCCTGCCAACGCTAGAGCTTTCCTCTTCCAGGAAGTGATCGACCTGGGGGGCGAGGCGATCAGTGGGGACGAATATTTTGGCCTTGGTCGAGTTACTGAGTTTAAATATGGAAAATTCTTGGGAGAAGCATTCCGTGGATTGAACCAGCTCAAATGGCTCATCAATTGGGGTATGCAGAAAACATGGTTATTCCAGAGCTTGAAATAGGTCAAAAATTTCATAAAACCGTTAGAGTTTAAACACTTTAAATACATAAATAATTGTAAAGTTTGAGTGAAATAATTCCGATATATGTATTTTTCCTAAATGGTTACCCAAATAAATTCTAGTCACTAAAACTACTTAAATTTCTACTACATTTATACCTTTCAGGTGAAGGATGGGGCATGTATCCGAACAGTAATGCCCTCGTCTTCATAGATAACCACGATAACCAGCGAGGTCATGGCGCTGGTGGCGAAAACATTTTAACTTATCGAGTATCCCGTCTGTATAAAATGGCTGTCGCCTTCATGTTGGCCCATCCCTATGGGATTACAAGGGTTATGTCGTCCTATGACTGGTCACCCTTCGAGAATGACTGGGTATGAACATGAAGGAGCAAATATGCCGTCGATTCCTTTTTATTTTGCTGACAGAAATTTCCTGAAAAACCATTTTTCAACTCCTGTTTCTGGAAACACCAAGTTTTTTTTAAATTTGATGTCGTTTTTCCCGTGAAATTTCTGTGTAGTTTTAGACGAATCGAAGTTTTAAACTGCCAGTAGGCTTTTGTCAGTGGATTTTTAAAAACGTTCTGAACTACTTAGATTGGACCACCAAATACGAACGGAAATATTGACGATGTCCCAATCAATGCTGATTTGACGTGCGGTGGTGGCTGGGTATGTCAATTTTTCAAGTTTTTAGTTTCGAAATTTAGTATTTCATGAATACAGTAGGATCCCAGTGCTGCCGTGCTAAAGGGGTCTGACTTAACTTAACTTAACTGTATACCTCCTCAGCACGGGAACTTTGGGATCCTACCATAATTCGCAAAAGTACTTACCAGTGCCCGTAATATTAACAAATTTCTCCACGTGCCACTCAAGGTCTGTGAACATCGTTGGCGTCAAATCTACAACATGGTCAAGTTCCGTAACGTCGTGGCCGGAACTGGGGTGAACGATTGGGTGGACAACGGGAACAATCAGATCGCCTTTTGTCGTGGAGATCGAGGATTCATTGCGATTAATAATGACAACTCGCCACTCATTTTGAGCCTTCAGGTATCAATTCTGTCCATCAAATATATAGTTGTCGGATGAAATTCATGCGAATTGATGTCAGATTGACGTCAAGTGACAGTTTAATAACAACATTTACGTTGTCCTAAATTTTTGTAGACGTGTCTCTCCCCCGGTCAATATTGTGACGTAATTTCCGGAAACGTGGAAGGTGGGAGGTGCACGGGTAAAACGATTACAGTCGGAAGTAACGGGATGGCAGATATCAACATCAACAATAGCGATCCAGATCCAATGGTTGCGATTCATGCGGAAGTAAGGACTTTATGATAAAAGTGATGAATTTAGAAATTTTAATATTCTTTTTCCTTATTATAGTCCAAGCTTTAAGGAAATTCTGGAAACCATTGATTGGATTTTGACAAGGATTAAATAATTGGAATTTTAAGATTACAAAATTGTGTAAACGTTATTTGTATTTATGTATAAGAATAAAATTAATATCGATCCTTAGATTTGATAATATTCTATTCTATTTTGTGGTGTGATTCACACCGTCAACCGTGTGAAAAAATACGTTCGGGCCACAGATTTTTCAACGTAATTCAATTTAAATTATTGGCATAATTAAGTGAGAAATCTTTGACAAAAAAATATAGTAATTACTGAATTGCTGTATACACATGCATACATCAGGTCCAAGTGCAGTAAATAAAGTAAGACTATTGTAAATAATACACATTAACTTGTATTATGCATGAGTCGTTGAGCAGATGAGAACTTTCAGTCACATTCGTTTGACAGATCGGATTAAGATAATCATTGTTCATCATTTTCCAGGAATACGGACTTTTCTAACATTATGTACGTAAAAGAGAAAGGGGAGATCCATAAATTATGTCACGCAAAAATCGCGACTTTCTAGAGGCCCCCCTTTAAGATGTGTCACATAGGCGTGATATCATTGAAGCCACCTCTTGCTCTTGCGTGACATAATTTATGGACGGTCCGGAAGTAGTAAATGTTGGTGTTATGATTATTCGATTATTACATTGCCAATCACGACCAGCCAAAGATACTAAAAGACAAAGGACATGACGATCAGGCACTGACCGATTATTTGTTTACCTAGAACACAGATTTAGAGATTTAGAGAAGTTTAAGTGCTTATTAAAAAAACTGCTGGTCGCACCAGTCAACTAAATAACATAACAACTTAATTATGAACTTATGATAATATGGATTAAGATATTACTACATATTCAACGTCAATGTGCGACGGACCAGGTAGAAATAATCACCCCAATTCCAAAAATTGAATCATAAATCACGCCATAACAATCAGACTATTTATGTAATGCGGATTTCTTAAGTATAAAAAGCACTCCAACGCTGGAGAGAGTATCATTCCCTCCGATGGAATATTAACTACAACTTCAAATATTGAAACAGTAACAATACCAAGAACCAATAGACAATTTCATTTGAAAATGAAACTTCTCGTACTCGCACTTTTCGCATTAGCGCAAGGACGACCTGAAAATGGCGACAAAATCGACTACCGTCTCCTCGGGGCGGCCAAACAAGCCGAGAATGGCGATAAAATCGACTACCGTCTCCTCGGGGCGGCCAAACAAGCCGAGAATGGCGATAAAATCGACTACCGTCTCCTCGGGGAGGCCAAACAAGCCGAAAATGGCGATAAAATCGACTACCGTCTCCTCGGGGCGGCCAAACAAGCCGAAAATGGCGATAAAATCGACTACCGTCTCCTCGGGGAGGCCAAACAAGCCGAAAATGGCGATAAAATCGACTACCGTCTCCTCGGGGCAGCCAAACAAGCCGAAAATGGCGATAAAATCGACTACCGTCTCCTCGGGGCAGCTAAACAAGCCGAAAATGGCGATAAAATCGACTACCGTCTCCTCGGGGCAGCCAAACAAGCCGAAAATGGCGATAAAATCGACTACCGTCTCCTCGGGGCAGCCAAACAAGCCGAAACTGCTGACATTTTCATCACTTTTCAGGAAAGCACGGCCCAAACATTGCAAGCGATCGAGAGCACCCGATTTGACACTCGAGAAGACCGACTTAACGCCATGAACTCTGCCCTCGTCCGCCTCGCCGGCCGTGTCCAGTCCAACGTCCTGTCCTACCTCCAGGGTCGATTCGAGTTCAAATCATTTTGGATCACGAACCAGGTTTACGTCAAGGGAGCAACGTTGGACTTGATCATGGTTCTCGCCTCCTTCAACGAAGTCAAGAGTTTGAAGTTGGAGGAAATCATTGAACTGGACACGATTGGTGGCGCTGGAGGGATTTCTTGTCGTGGATGTGCGACGTCATCTTGTGCCCGGAACGCTCTTTTGGCATGTGCCCAATTAAATAATTAATTGGATTAAATAATTGGATTTGAACATTAAAATGTGTTTTGTATGTACGGGATAGTACGGATAAGAATAAAAGTAATATTAGCTTTGATGATTTTTTTTTGTGTGAAAAATATGTTTGGGCCGCATTCTTTTGTTAAATATATCATATACGTAATTCAATTAACATTAATTGCTTAGTCCAGTAAAAAAATCTTCGACAAGTTTAAAAAATATGGTAATTACAAAATTGCCAAATAATTCTATATCCATATCGATCGCATCACAGTAAACAAAGTAAGAATCATAAATAATTAAGTGATATTATGCATGAACGTTGAACAGATGCAAACTTTGAGTCACATTGTTTGACAGATTAGATAAGAAAATCATTGTTCATCAATTTCCAGGAATACGAAATTTTCTAATGTTATGTACATACGTAAATGTAGGTGAGTAATTAATATTATGACCATTCAATTACCCCATTCATAAAAATGATCATCACTTTACAACCATGAAATCGATATATATGACCCTGTCAGTCACGACCAGGCAAAAATATTAAAGACAAAGGACATGACGATCGCTCGTGGTCACACCACACTGACCGATTATTTGTTTACCTGGAACACAGATTTATAGATAAAAAATATTCCTACATACATAATTACGTCTGATATGGTTTAAGACAGCACTACATATTCATTAACTGACGTCAATTTGCGACGGATCAGGTAAAAATAATCAGTCCAATTCCAGAAATTCAATTATCAATCACGCCATAATAATCGGACTAATGCGAATTTTTTATGTACAGAAGGGTTTGGCACTTACGTGGATACGAATTTGACCTTGAATAACCCCATAACGGTTTGTCGCAGCGGGTCAAAATTTTGAACAGACGAGCATGTTATCCTCAAATACTTGTGTGCAAACAACCAACTCTCTACTTTCAAAAATGCCTCCCCCACAGCCCCCAGAAGTTGAGACAGTAATTTTAACTTTTTCCAAACTCGGTCTAAAAAATTCGGTCTCCGCAGAAAAATTTTTGTTTTCAAGTATTCGACCCCAAATAAGTTCATTTGACTTATATCTGGGGATTGTACAGGTATTTCACTATTCAAAATGATTTTTATCACCAACCTAGCTTCAAGGTCCTTTGCATAATCTGAGGTCAACTTTGCCGTCCGGGAAGACGCTACGTCATGATGAAAAATCACCTTAATTATTTTTTTTACCGTGCAATTTAGGAAAATGTTATTCTAAAAGTGATTTAAATAGACAGTCCACATCATACTTCGCAGATACGTTCACTTTTTGGTGGAATTTGATAAGTGGGAGGATACCACGACCCGACATTGCACCCATCACCATAAACTGTTTAAAAAAGTTCTCCTCACGCGGAAGCACCAACTTGCGTGAATTGTTTTCGGCATTTGTCGTGCAGTAAACTGTTCGAACCTAATTAGTAACTTGTAGAGAAATTAGTGCTTCGTCAAATGTCACCAATAACTCACTCTGATTCCTTGACAGAAAATTCAAATAATTTTTTTTTGTAAACACGGGCGCGAGTTATTTCTTGTTTTTCGGCCAGCTGATACAAACGAGTTTTCCGACGACGTCGTTTCTTCAAAATCTAAATTTCTCTTTTCACTCAACACTTAGACACCCCAACCTTACGGAAAATTTCCCTTTGGGTCGGTGGAGTGTCTTTTGAGGTCAAGAGGTCACTTTTCCTAAACACGGCCGGAATTAACACTTTTTTTGCCTTCTTTCAGGGGGTGGTGGTTGCCGTTTACTCAAAATTTATCGCTTTTCACCTATATTTTTCAATACCTTATTGATTGTAGATTTCGAAACCGTTTTCCATTCACTTAGTAGAGAGATTGTATGTGATCTTGCTTGATTAATTTACAAACAAAGTAGAGAGTTGGTTTTTTGCACACAAGTATTTGAGGATAACATGCTCGTCTGTTCAAAATTTTGACCCGCTGCGACAAACCGTTCTGGGGTTATTCAAGGTCAAATTCGTATCCACCTACGTGCCAAACCCTGTATAAAAAGCATCCAAACTTTGGAGCAGAGTATCATTCATCACTGAAAAGAAATATTAACTACAACTTCAAATAACATTTTTAAGAACAATTACATATTTTCACTTGAAAATGAAGCTACTTCTAGTACTCGCACTTGTCGCTTTAGCGCAAGGCCGACCTGAAAATGGCGACAAAATCGACTACCGTCTCCTCCGAGCAGCCAAACAAGCCGAAACTGCCGACATCTTCGTATCATTTCAAGAAGGCACGGTCGGAACGTTGCAGGCGATCGATGACACCCGATTCGACAGTCGAGAAGACCGACTTGACGCCATGAACTCTGCCCTCGTCCGGCTTGCAGGTCGTGTCCAGTCCAACGTCCTGTCCTATCTCCAGGGTCGATTCGAGTTCAAATCCCTGTGGATCACCAACCAGGTTTACGTCAAGGGAGCCACGATGGACTTGATCATGGTCCTCGCCTCCTTCAACGAAGTCAAGAGTTTGGAGTTGGAGGAAATCATCGAATTAGACACGATCGTGGAGGGGCCAATTTTTCGTGGAAGACAAGATCCATCGGGCGAATGGGGCGTCAAGAAAATTCAGGCGGCCGAAGCTCGTGAACTTTTGGGGTCCACGACTCAAGCGTCGCAAATCGTGGTGTCAACAATTGACACTGGAGCTCGACACACCCACGAAGCCTTGAGAGCCAACTGGTTCGGAGATTATGGATGGTTCGACCCCTACGATGCCAACGCGTTGCCCATGGACATCAACGGTCACGGGACTCACACGACTGGGACGATCTGTGGCGCTGGAGGGATCGGAGTCTATCCGGACGCTAAATGGACTTCTTGTCGCGGATGTGCGACTTCATCTTGTGCCCAGAACGCTCTTTTAGCATGCGCCCAATTCATCACCTGTCCAACACGCCCTGACGGAAGCGCGCCTGACTGCAGCAAGGCCCCACATCTCGTTTCTAATAGTTGGGGAGGTTGTCGCGGTGCTACTTGGTCAGTCTCATACAATTAAATTTACTCTACTGATACCCAGTTTTAATGATTATTTTCAACTCTACAGGTTTGATGGTGCAATCGCTGCTTTCCACACTGCTAAAATCATCCCACTTTTCTCCATCGGAAACTCTGGCCCACCCTGCAACACGGCAAATTCACCCGGAGATCGAAACGTGATTGGCGTGGGTTCCACCACGGTCACCGACGAATTGTCCTCCTTCTCCTCGGTCGGCCCTACCACCGACGGAAGAATGAAGCCCGACATCTCTGCACCAGGATCCAACGTCCTTTCCGCCTACAACACGGCGGACGATGCTTATCGAGCCCTCTCCGGAACGAGCATGGCCTGCCCCCACGCCGCCGGACTGACCTCTCTCCTCCTCGCCTACAACCCGAGCATCAGCTTTGGCAATGTGACGGCCCACATGCGGGGTGGGGTTGACCAGGACCTCGTCGACATGGGAAAGGTCTGCAGCGGAATCCCCGACAACCAATTTCCCAACCATCATCACGGCGAAGGCAGGATCAACGCATTCAAATCCCTTCAACGACTGATTAATGCCTCCAAATAACGATTCTTCAGAATAATCATCATTTTGGATCTTATATGATATGCTCAAATTGTTAGCTTAGTTAATTCATCTATTTTCTACTGGAAAATAAATATTTGTGTAATTTTTATTAATTTCATTAGCTTTAAAAATTACTTACATAAATGGAATTTTACTTGGTTCCAAATATCCGCTATAAAAGGAATTAGTTAAAATATTCGAGAAACGTTCAACTTTATTTTGTAACAGGTACACAAATCAGATTGCAATAATTTTAAGACGCAATAGACTGTAGAGTTCAAATTTTAGTTATGACAGACAAATTTTCAAGATACTATGTACATAGGTACAAAATTTAACATTTTCAAAATTTAATATTTTTTAAATTTTTTTACATAAAAAATGAAACAACACCACTCAAAAATTGCAAATTAGTCGCAGTGACACCTAAAAAATCCAGTGAACCAACGGCAGCCCCCGGTGGAAAGGGTGGTCGACAGGCAGTGGACGGAGCATAAATTGTGGTTGTAGTCCCACGGACCGTTGCACCCATATCCAGCGTCGACTGCGGACATCAAACCCATGGAGAGGATGACCAAGGCGAAAATAAGAAACTGTGTTTGTCCAGCCATTCTGAAAATCAGAGATTGTATGTGATCTTGCTTGATTAATTTACAAACAAAGTGGAGTAAATTGAGATTCTAGTAAATTAAAATGAGGATAAAACGTGAGATTTACAGAGTGTACTTTCATTTTTTTAACAAAATTTTAAAGAGTTGTCTGAATTTTGTCGTTGCAAAGATAAAGATTTAACTAACAAATTTGAGTTACAATTGATTTTGTAAATTTGTGCAATAATTTTATACGTTTTGATAATTTATAGAGTATGCAAAAATTAGCGATAAATTTTTGCCATCAAAGTTCATCTGTAGCATGGCGTAAAATGTATAAAAATAAATATAAATGTCCAAAATCAAATTAAAAATACAACATTGAAATATTAAATTGGAGGTTTCTTTTCTAAAAAAAATTTTCGTACCTTAAATTTAAATACTCAAACTTTTAATTAACTTACGTATATAGTTTTGGGATAAGTTTTGAGAGATTGTTTAACCAAGTGGTGAATATTCTTGTCTGAATGATGCTACGACTTTGAGACTTTGATCACAAAACTGTTTTTGCAGAGCAAAATGACCATGAGTTGTTTCATATCTTATTATTTATGGGCAGTCAGAGTATAATTTGTTATCTCTGAATTTACTGGAGCTTCTTAGCTTAATTAATGCACTCTAAGCAATCAATTATTTTTGCAATAGTTGCAAAAATTATTTCCAACTTCCACTTGTTCCACTACTTCAAATTTGAAGACAAATTATTTTACATATTTGTGCACACATTTGTCAACGAATGTCTTCCCATTTTACGAAGTTTAAATATATATTTTAATTTTTTGATGGAGCAATTTAACAAATATTACAGCGGAAGAGAACTAGCCTGTCAATGTCATTAGTCACATAAATTAAAGACGTGTATAAAATACGGACACTTTTTAAGAAGATTTGTTGCAAGGTTTACTTGAAATGTGTTGGTTGATTGATGAGCAAGTTGTTTTTGTCATATGCATTCTTGAAAAATGAAGATTTTCTATTTTCTTGGAATGTAAAGATCTTTGGTGTTCCGTGTAATATGTGAATTAAATTAAATATGAGACAAGATTTATTTAAGACATTTTGCATGTACGTATCAAGTACACGATCTATTTGATTTTGAAATTAAAAATTATAACTTAAAATTGATTACCAGGTTTGATAAATAAATCAAACGCTGCTAAAATATTTGGTTTGTTACCAGACTATTTAGAGTGTTCGTACTTATGTATGTACGTCAACCAAAGCAAACTTTTACGTGCACGAGTTATCGAGGTGTCAATTCAGTTGAGAAATGAGAGTTCTAATTATTTTTTGGGTTGTGTCTATGTAGTCAAGCACAGTATGTGCGGATGTATTGAAGATTATGAGGTTGTACTTAATTACTGGGAAGGCTAAAGAATATGATTATGCCAACTTAATTATTGAACCAAACAGTGATTTATTGATTCAGTTGCTTTTTTTAACCAGCATAAATCGTCATCATCCCAATGATCTGATTGCTTATTTATATATTTAATTGTGGTGTAATATGTAATTGGAATAAAATCGTTGCTTTCATGTTTGTGTATTAGTACTTACATACTCATGTAATGTACTTATTACGAGTTTAACCATGTGATTTTCCATGTATGTATGAGGTATAACTTCAGTAATGCAGCATATGAATTCTATATTATTTGGATTTGAATTTGGAATTTTTTTGGGGAACAAATCTTATCGAATTTCAGTTCACTTAAATACTTCTTTCTTTATGAGAATGTTCCATTCAAGAAATTTTCAAGATTGATGATTTGATCTCGTAGGCATCTTCACCAAGTTGAATAAAAAACAACGCTTTAAATGATTATTATGATTATATTATACATGAATCAGTCGTAAAAGTTTCCGTTTGCGACTATGCATATTTATTATCTTTTAATTTGTAAATTGACTTTTAGTGTAATGTTTTTGTTACTCTCCTTGTGTTTATAATTTTTTTTGCAATTTGTAGTGAAATTTCAGTAAAATAAAATTGTAATTTTTATGAAAAAGTATACGTTGGAGGATTGCCAATTTTCGTGGCGTTTCCTTTATTCTCGAGGCTGTTGCATCCCATTGTAGCAGACCGAAAGTTGCGGTTAGAACCAACCAGGCCGCCGTTACCATTTACACATGTGGTATTTCCTGTGAAGTCATCATTATAATACAGCGTCCAACTTGACATGCCAGAAACTATGACATATTCTGCCTCGAAGCCAAAATTGTTTGCAGCTGAGGTTGTGAATATTTTTTCTGTGCTGACCGCACTCGCTCCATCATAAATAGAAATAGATGGAGTGGTAGTCTCCAAGGGGCCTACGTATCTCAAAGATTTTGAAACTGTGGGATACGTAGAATTGAAGCAGTATGTTGAAGACCTGAAATTAGTGTGACTCTGATAAGGGCTGAAGTTGACTCCAGTGTAAAAGTACCACCTGCGTAAAAAGACTTACAATGAATATGTACCAATCTTCATCAAGAACGAAGTCCCACAATTGCTTAAATTTTTATTTTGAGGCAATTTCAATAAAATTATGTGACAATGGATAAATATTAACGACAGGAAATTCAATTCTACCCTGTGAGTATCGGGTGGTCGGAGACTAATACAGGCCGTTAAAGGATAATCGTCTTTAAACTTTACATTCAGAATCGCTTAAAATCGAATTTATTAAGTTTAAAGTTGGAAAATATGGAAAGTCTAATCTAAGTAGGTAGTAATAAACACCAATTATACCTCTTATTTGAGCAACGCCGTTAAATGAGTAAAAATTACTCCTAACTTAATGCCATGAAGTTAATTAAAAATTTCTTACAAAATATGTAAATAAACAATATACTAATTTTCAGTGATTTACCATCCAACAACTTTTATGGATTGCACTGAGGGCAAGAAAAACTCCCAATTTGCCAAGTTTGGCTCTTTTGTTTCAAAAGTGAATCCTGGTCCTGTACAACTCAACCCTGAATGAAGGGTCATTTCTTGTACGAAAGCAGTTGAACTTGCCACAAGCAATAATAAGATAGTAATTCTTGAAAAAATCATGACGAGAAGTATTTTCGGCTGTTAACTTCTCTAGGATTAAGTCGGTTACACAATTTTCGACAAATGAAGTTCCACCAAATTTGGTAACGATTTACTACCGACAGGTAATATAATTTAAATATTTAGAATTTTCTTGGAAACTTTGGAAATTTCTAGTGTTGTAATAAGTTGAAGTTCGCCTAAGTTATCGTTACCGTTCTGTGACTAAATCGTAACCAAGTAGAACCTAATTTTATGACAATTGTGTTATCAAAGTTTTTAGCAGATGCTTCTAGAACGTTTGAGGCAGAGAAGGACTGAATTTATGGCAAGCAGTCAGTACTGGTTTCTTTTTATATCCGTCGAGGTGTACGAGGTGTAAAATTAAAACGAATACCTTATCTAATTTTAGTGGAAATTTACACCCAATTCATTGAAAACCACTTTGACAGCAACTTGAAATAAAATTCATATCATCTAGCTGAAACAAATTATTCGGAGAATATTGCAAACCACACATGTCAATATGAAAGCTGTAATTCATTGAAAATTTTGTCAATTGTTTGCTATTGATATCTTATTGAGTAGGAAAATGATGAAATATATTGATAACGTTGATACTCATAATACTCTAAGGGATGTGTACGACGTGTATCTAGATAAGTCCCTACATATATCAGAGATATTCAGCCATGCAGAAGTGATAATTTAACGTTTTTCTTGGGCTTGTGACAGCAAACATTTCCAAACTGTAATCAATATTCATGAAAATATCGTTAATTGCACAATATGAAGTATGGATAAGTCATTGTTATATCATACTCTGTGGGATAAGTGCAATCTGATAAAGATAGCGAATGTATATACATACATACTTATGTATTTATATACCTATTTAGCAGAATACAGAAATCATCCCATATATACAGAATTTTTGGTAGTAATAAATAAGTTCTTGGAAAAAACTTCAACTTTAAACTTATATAGCTTATCTATTCAATTGGATATCGAATGAGTCTTGTTCTTGGAGAAATGTCAGAATTGATGCTAAATATTATTTTAACAGCGCATAAAGTTTATTATTTAGATTTAAAAATTTCGAAATTTTCATATTTCCTTGATATTGATTTTTATTTTGAAGTTCATTATTTTTTATTCAATTAAGCTAACGCAAGTGTAATCAACGTTTGGAATGAAAACATTCAACCAATAGGAAGCCCATTGTCATTCATAATAATGCAATTTTTTTAAAACTATTTGGCTTGGCAAAATGGATGCATCTTTTTTATGACCTACATCTACGGTGGTATTGGTTAGCATTCAAAATTCCACTAAAAAAATTCCAATTATACTTTATTTCAATGTTCAAAATTTTAATACAAAATTTTACAAAATTCTTTCCTCAAATTCGAAACTTCGTCTTAACCGTAGAACCCTCCCAAGCCGTAACCATATCCAAGGCCTAATCCGTGTCCGAATCCGAACCCTTTTCCGTACCCGTAGCCAAGACCATATCCAAGTCCGAGTCCCTTGCCGTAGCCCAGACCAAGTCCCCCGTACAACCCGTGACCGTAAAGACCAGCCCCGTAAAGACCAGCTCCGTAACCAAATCCGACGCTGGAAGCGGTCGAAAGGTCGTTTTTCTTTTCCTCGGCGGCATTAGCGACGACCACCAAGGCGGCGGCGATGAAAGCGACTGCTGCCTGCAAGTTATATTTAGAGAAAAATTTAAATTTTGATCGTTTATTCAGAAATATTTTGGAGTATCTTACAACAATTCTGGCCATTTTTCTGTTTAGATGAGATGAGTTGCGAAGAAGTTGTTAATTAACTTGGGTTGAATAACGGTTTGTACCTTTTTGGGGAAAAATTGTGGCATTTTATACCAAAACGTGGTCTCCAGTTGGTGACATTCTTGCCGACACGACTCCAGTTATTTCAGCACAAAAAACAATTGAATTTGAATGAAGTTATCGCCATAAAATTAGCACTAAATGGCACATGGGATTGATTTCCTCATACTGTTTGGTCCATTTTATTGTCAAATTATGCACGTGTTTTTAGGCAGGCACGATTCCCGTCATGGTACCAATTTTGGTTTAATTTGGAGTTCAAGTTGAAGAAGATTTTTTAGGCAGAAAATAAAAGGGAATCAAATCGTAGCGATTACTACACAGTTTGAACTACATTATATGCCCAAAACAATAAACTCTTTATTTAGTGATACACTAAATACGTAAATAGGAACTGTGGCAGAAGTGAGATTTTCTGCAAATCATGCCAAAACAATTAAAAGTTAAAAAATTAGAAGAACAAAGTGACTAGACGAAGCTATTGTCATTGTGAAGGTCGGGATCATGTTTCAGTGTTACATACCATCTTGTAATTTCTTTCAATTGAATGAAGATATAATTTTAAAATTGGTGTAAATTGTATTGATTTCATATAGTAATATGTAGAAGCAGGATTATACATACCTATGTAATATAAATGATCCATAGAACTTGGATAAAGAATTCCAAAAATTGCTGAAAATTGAAATGAAGCTCCTAATTTATGATGGATGGATGGATGAAATTTTGCATGAAATAATTGAGATTATTCACTCGGATATATCAGTACATATTTGCAACCCACTAAAATGTGCAAAATTGTTCAGTTTCCTTTGTATGCGATTCATTGTTTATTTTTTCCAGTTTAAGACAAGCATCCTGAAATCTGGACATTTATCGCTGAAATTTTTCCAAAAGTGTGCATTTCTATTTATAAAAATATTGCCACTTTTCAAAAACATATACCTAAAATTTGTATGTAGGCAAAATATGTATAAGTTTATAATGGGAAAATTCAATTTATCTATGTGTAAGATAGACTTGTAACCCGATTTACTTCATAATCTTGGCAAATTTGCACATTTGTAAGCTTACGCATTTAACAGAATTTGTTGGGTCACATTGGAATAAACTTGTTAAATATTTGGCTTTTCAATAGTACAAATAGTAAAGTAGCAACTAGATATAAGTATGTAAGCATATTGATTTTAACAATGTCAAGTCCAGCAATAAAACAACAGTTATTTTTACCCTTTGAAATAAGGGATACTCAAAATTGGAACTCTTTTCGGTCAGCTTATGAGCTCTTTTCATGCTAATTTTACAGTAATTTATTACATACATTGAAACTGAAACGTGTCATGACTGGCCTACGTTGTTGACTTCAGCAACGTTCCATTAAACGAGACTTGCTCTACGTGATTGATTTCTAAATATGGGTACAATCTGATCCCAAAAATCTGAATATTCACAGTAAATTAGCGTAATTTGCATACAAATTAGATACAATTAAAAAAAATTGGCATAATGGCAGATAACTTTGTTCAAGTGCATCTCCATTTATTTAACCTCCTCCAACTGCCTCTCCCCCTCACGTCGGCAGGTTCGCTGGTCTTTATAATTTCAGTTTTGACAAATATTTGGTCAGCGTCGAATATGTTGGAGGATTTGGTGCTTCATCCAATCCCATTTTCGACCCTTCTCTTCGGCGAAGTTCCCATCTATGATTTTATTATTGGTGAGTGCATGCAGTTTTTACATGATTTTTTTAAGAAAAAAATTGAAATTAAGGTTTTATTTTTAGTGGGAGGTGGTTCTGCTGGGTGTGTGATGGCGAATCGTCTCTCAGAAAATGGGCGCTTTACAGTCCTACTTTTAGAAGCGGGAGGTGACCCCAGCCTCCTGAACTCCATTCCGGAACTCGCCCCGTATAATTTGCACCATCCTCCGACGGATTGGGGGTATAAGACAGTGCCCCAGGATAACGCGTGCTTATCAATGTACAACAATGTAAGTCGTATGCATAAGAAATGGTGGAAAGTAGTAAATTTGGTGCCACAATGTAGATAACTGTAGAACTTTATCAAATTGGTTATCGAACTGGAAATGCTTATCTTGCCCTGATTTAGCAACTGGCTTGGCCTCGTGGAAAAATTTTGGGTGGATGCAGCTCCCTAAATTGGATGATTTACCAACGCGGTAACCCCAAAGATTACAACGAGTGGGTCAAAGCAACCGGAGATGACGAATGGAGTTACGACAACTTGTTACCATTTTTCAAAAAGTCGGAAACTTATCATGGATCTTTTCCAAATCGTATGTGGAAAACTGTATTTTCAAATTCTGAATTTGCTTCATTAAACAAGAAATTTTAAATGATTTTTTATGGCAGCCGATTTTCACGGGTCGAGTGGACCATTGGACGTTTCCAAGCAGAGTTATCATCCATCACAAGAGGAATGGGTTGCGGGTGGGAAAGAGTTGGGATTCGATACCACGACTGACCCCAACAGCCGACAAGTCCCTGGTATGTAAGTATTTACAGAATATTATTGTTGAAAAATTTTGTTTGAAAAATTCAAAGTTTTTTGTGCCGTCGTTGTTAAAAAAAGTGTGTTCGTCATTTTTAAACATCCATTTATGTACTCCTTAGCAGGGTTCGTAAATCCGATCTGTCGGATCAGGTCGGATCCATGTTATAGTAAACAGCCAGATAATCCGATCGGATTGGATATCATCCGATCACTCCTTATAATTATTATGTTAAGCAGTCATAACGCATGAGTCTATCTGAATTTCCTGTGCAATATAATTTTTTTTAGGATTTTACCCAATGGACGTTACAATCTATCAGGGTCACAGAGAAAGCACTTATCGCGCATTTCTTCACCCGATTCTCGGTCGGGAAAACTTGATCGTTAGCAGATATTCACGTGTAATTAAGGTATGCACATATGTGTTTGAGTCAATTCAGTCAGATATTTGTAACCACATAGAACTCCGTAAACTTTCAAACATTTATGTAATTTGACAAAAGTTACAGTTTGAACTGGGCTTATAAACATCTGAGGGCATGAATTGTCTCACCTTAATATATAAATACAATCTGAATCGGATCAACATTTTAAAGCTGGCAGGATAGCTTTTTCAATGAAGAATATTCATGATTTTTTATGTAGATCAATGTTGACGAGGACGAAAATGGGTCCCTTCACGCAGGGAGCGTCACTTATGTCAAAAACGATAAAACTTTAACGGCAAAGGCGAGGAAGGAAATTATCTTGAGTGCGGGGTAAGTGGTCATTTTATTTTGTAGAGCTTATCAATGATGCGAAATAAAAAACTGTGTAAATTTGCAAAATTAAAGAACTGTGTAAATTTGCAAAATTGCACAGTGGTCGATTACTTTGGTCGAGAGAATAATATTAACTCGGACTTTTATTTGATTACTTTTTCTTTAGGGCGATCGGAACACCGCATTTGCTAATGTTATCTGGAATCGGACCAAGCGAGCATTTGGCGTCGGTCGGGGTATGCTTAAAAAACTGGGTGATTTAGGAACCTCAGGTTACTTTATATTGTTGATTGATAAGAAAGTACTAATTTATCCAGGTCACCCCGGTGTTAGACTTGCCAGGTGTGGGTCAAAATTTACAGGATCATGTCCTCACCTTGTTCGGCCCGTTCTTATTAAATGAATCCATTTCATTCTTAACGGATCGAGATCTCACGTATCAGAGTGTTTTAGAATATGTGAAAAATGGGACGGGTGAGTAGAAATATGCAGATTAATTGGCAAACTCGTTAAGTTAGCAGCAAAATTATTTGCAAATAATTTTATTCAAACTAACCTGATTTTGAAACACCAGGATTAAAACTATTTGCAGATATTTATTTCGTGTGTGCGCTGAATAAAAATCTTTTACCGAATACAATTATTTCTGTAATTTGCAAATTCTATCAAAAAGTACGAACTAATTAGCAAATTGACTATTCCACAGGCGCCTTTTCGTTCAACCAACTCGCAGGAGTGGGATATATCGCCACGACGCAAAGTGTGGACCCCAATTGGCCCGACATCGAGTTTCATCAGACTCCCGTTGGCCTACGACAGTCGATTGCGGGCGATTTTACTGCAGTTTTTGGTCTCAAACCCAGCATTCTTGAAGCCCTGTTGGATCCCTGGATTGGTCACGACGCCAATTTCGTCATGGTCGACTTGGGCAGGCCGAAAAGCACGGGCGAAATCAAACTGGCAAGTTCCGACCCTGCTCGGATTCCTTTAATCGATCCGAAATATTACAGCCATCCGGGCGACATGGTGGCCATGAAGGAAGGTCAGAAATTCTATTCCATTTTGCAAATTAATGAAGCAGCAATTTGAATTTATGTGGTATAGTTGCACTCCAAGTAGACAATTTTATGGTGAGAGCGAGTCAAATTACTAACTAAAGATAAAAGGAATTCCCCCACACAGTAGACGATGAATATAATTTTGTTTTAAAATTTTAAAAATAATTTTATGCTAGTCATCACAGATTTGAAACTTTAAAAACTTTCATAAATAATATATTCTTACAAAAATTGAAAATCTGCCCATTGTTTGGTTTCGTTACATGTTGTATTAAAATCGGTTAATTTTGGCTATCAAGAGATAAATAATAGGTTTCAACACATTATTCCGTTTTCGATTAGTTTAGAAATAAGCATGTTACCAAATGATAGTACCCTTTCATCAATTTGTGTATTTAGTGAGATTTTTTACCAAAAATTATGTTTATAATAGTAATAATTTAATTATAAATGGTGTATTTTTTTAAGTTTTCGAAATTTTTTACCATACTTTTGTTTAATAGCGTTGCAATTCCTCCTGGAAATGTATGAGGGGACGGATACGTGGCAAAAAGTGGGGGCCAAATTGGCACCTGGAAAATTGCAGGGATGTGAAAAATTCGAGTGGAGATCGCCGGATTACTTGGAGTGCTACATTCGCCACTTGACCTTCACTATTTACCATCCCTGCGGAACGTGCAAAATGGGAAAGGCCGAGGATCCCTTGGCCGTGGTGGATACCAAATTAAGGTAACAAAAAAACTAAAATTGACTACCAAATTGTAGTTGATTACATACCAAACTGATATGGTCACCGTTTGGTAACAGATTTTCATACTTGGTAATAATCTATTACCAAGTAGCGTGTTTATCATGTTTGTAACATTTTTCCACCAGTTTTTTTTTACCAACTTTTACAAATTTTATACGGATTAAGATTGTTTTTTTTAATAATTTTGTATCGAAACTTGTCACTCGAGCAAAATTTTATTCCTGGATTTTTTAAAGTGTGCTTTACACGCTAATTTGTCTCTAGTAATTTTGTTATAATTTTACAACAGGGTGAAAGGCATCAATGGACTTCGTATCGTGGACGCGTCTGTAATTCCCATAATTACGAATGCGAATATTAACGCACCAGTCATCCTGCTAGGAGAAAAAGGTGCAGCTTTTATTTTACAAGACTGGACAACGTGACCTGGTCGGACTAAAAAAATGAGATGAGTATGTTATAAAACTTCGTTTTTGTAAAATTTATACGCTTTTTGTATATATTAAAAAGTATTTGTGTCTTATTAGCAAATACTCAGATCTGATAATAATCTGGATTATATTTCAATATTTTTGATGGTGAGATTATTAAAATTTTAAAATTATTAATAACATGATCATGCTTTCATGATAATTAGTAAAATTTTGTATTGATACATTTGTTAATTAAATAAGATAAAGAATTAATAATTAATTAAGATAAAGGCACATGAAATAAATTAAATTGTATGGAAAATACGTTAATATTATCTTTCCATTAATCATCCGCATCCAAATCTCAGCTAGTCCACCCACGCTGTTTTCTTTCATAAAAACCTTTAACCAAAGTCTTATTACTGGGATGTGAGTTAACAATGAAATGGACTCCTACATGTACATCTGTTCATATATATTAGTACATACAGCGATCTTTCAGTACTGTGGGAGGAGAGGAATAATGTCTATATTTGTACATACTAAGCATCAGGGTTCTTTAAAAAACATCACGGTGTAGTTTAGATAAATGAAAACACCGACGTTTTTTTAGTTGATATCTAAAGTACCTAGAAATCGTGCACGTATGTACAAATACTTACAAATCTATAACATTACACGTACAATGGACAACGATTTACAAATAAAATACCCCAACTCGACAGAAAAAGTGAGAAAATGTGTAAATGAAAAAAGTGCATGCCTCATTAGAGAACGAAAAAATCAGATTACAGAACACGTAGTTACGAACCCTGATATCAGGCCAGGCTTATACCGTGTGTCACACTGCTCATTCTGTTTTATTTAACCGGTGCATGTATGCATTTCTTACGGAAAATAAAAAGGTTTCTTTACAAGCTCATACATAACATTGCATCCTTTTAACTTCCAGCCGGAAGAGAATAACAAGAGTGGATTTTGTGCCGTTTTTAATTTGGTAAGATTGTTCACATTTAAAAAATGTATAAATTGCATAACATTGGGGATAATTATGTTAGTTAATGTGTTTAATAAAATTATGAACATCTTGAAATAGTTTAGAGTCGTTGTAAATTATTTTTCAAAAATTTATATAAATTTATATTGTAGATTTGACGTTTACTCGCAAACAGCAATGTCGAAAGGAAGCGGTAGCGATAATGACGCCGAATTGGTGCATCATCTCGAGGCGACGGTGTCAAGTCTTCGACAGGAAGTGAAAATCCTGAAGGAATCCATCGACAAAGTTGACGAAGCTAATCGAGAAGGTCTTTGGCTCTGCTTCATTTCCATTGTCGTTCTGGTAAGTGTGTGCAAATTTGTATGCAAATTGAATACGTACACCGTACACAGTAAACGAGCCTTACAAGTTGTAAGGCTCTACAGAGGTGGTAACTATTTCAAAGTTATGCAGGTTAATAGCCTTCCATGATTTTTGTAAAGTGTATAAAGTAATTTTACGAAATATACACAGTTACAAACATCCGAATAAATATGTACGTAGCGAATTGTCAATTGACATACCATTTGCATAGAAAAATTAAATTTTAGAAATATTCTTTCGCTCAAATTTTGTTATCTTATCGTTACGTTAAAATAGCGAATTTTCTTAATTGCTGGTATGTCAGCATGCAAAATTTTTTATATGGTTGGATAAGCGCATATCTACCTATATCCAGATTCACTGGTAACTGTATTTCTACCTTTTTTAGGCAATCATGTTTGCCTGCACGGTGTTCTACGTCTGGTATCAAACTGGCGGATCAGCCCACCTTCCATGGAGTTGGAGAAAGTCCGAATTATAATGGTACGACTATAACAACACCGTAAAATTGGCAAATGTCGCAAATAATAGTTCCACATTTGACGACGAGGACGACGACCCCGATTCTTCTCACAATAATCTCCTTCTCTCATATTTATTCATAAATTGATGATTAATTTGTTCGTAATTTAACAATTTTTTAATTTAATTAACAATTTTTTTGTATCATAATAAAACACTAGTAAATATTTAATATGTCTAATTTTTAGACCCTATAATTTCATGAGTATTTTTTGTTAACAACCTCGTAAATAGTACTCGGCGAGTATTTATTTGAGCAAAAACTCTTAAACTTTCGACCCTAATCGACTATCTGATACCAAATTAAAGTAACGTCCCGACTTTTGTATTTCTGACTGTTTCTCACGCGGATATTTGTAACCCAGTAAAATTCTCAGACTTGCAAATGTTTCCGCAAGATTACAAAGATTACAAAGCTTACAAATCAACCATGAACTAACACATATTAAGAGCTTCGATTATTTAGTGAAAAGGGAAATTTTGCGAATTAAGTTTACGGTTTACAAACTTTGAATCTTAGATCCAATTCACGCAGGCCTTGGTAACTACGTAAAATCCGTAAACTTACAAACTCTTTCAAAATTTTCCAAGGAAAATTAGCTTACGAATTTTTAGATCTTTTTATTTTGTAAAAGTGTGTAACGTTTTTTCTCAAAATTTACGGATTTTACAAAGTTACCAAAAAATTCGTAAATTACCTCTTTATAAAATTCAACTGGAATTTCTCCAAAAACTTTGCTCTTCATATGCGAAATTTCCTTCGTAATCTTTGTAATCTTGTATGCACAACCATTTATAAGTTTACTAAGGTTATACGGTTACAAATATCTGCATCAATATTTAATATACAATTTCATAAATGTCATTTATGTATATAACTTCTAAAAATTTGGGCCTGCATAAATTTCTATAAAAATTGTTTTCGAAAGTATATATACACATCTAGAAAAGTTTCTGTCCGGTTAATTCAATAATAAGTTCGTATTCTTGTCTATGTACGTATGATAAATAAATAAATTTGTACTCATCCATTACATAAATTTCTACTTACATATTTATAATTAATTAATTAAAATTAAGTCATTAATCCATCACAATTAAATATTGAGTTAGTCTGCCGAACATAATTATATGAGAACAATTATGTAATAATAATGCAGTCGTGGTGTTCTGGTCTACGTAAAACTTGTATAAATTAATTTCCCAGCTTTTTTATGACCATGAACCCTGACAAGCCATAAGATGTGTCAATGTCTAAAATAATATTCGAAATTTCCAGAAATTTTTTGTGCTGTCGTCTGTCACAATCATTTGCGTTGTCTTTTTTTTACGTGTGGCACAAAATTTTAGATTTCACAGCGACTTTTTTGTAATCGACATTTTGAGAAAAGAAGTCTTTCGTATTTTTGGTATTTTTAGATTTTTGGCACCAATTATTTTAGCATGGATTAGTTAGTTTTTCATACGTAACTTTAAGTATTGCTGATTTTTTTCTGAAATATTTACTCAAAATAAGTTGGTAATAAAATTGTTACCGAGTGAGGATGAGGAAGGTCTACCGCGTTCGTAACGATTTGCATGCTAATTTCTGCAAAACTCTAAAAATTTGCTAACTCACATGTCACAACTCTCGTAAAAGGTTGGCTACAAATTTCGATATTCTGTTCGGTGATAAATCGTTACCAACGCGGTAAAGCTTCATATTGTCGACACTCGGTGACAATTTTGTTACCAATTTATCTTGAATATTTTACTTGTAGATTTTACTTTAGGCTAAAACTAGTTAAGAATTCCTTAATCGATGAGCTCGTCCAACAAGCGGTACATAAAGAGAGATAGAAACACGCTGCACATTGAGGTAGGAACCATAAGGACGAGACAAAAGCTTAACACGGCCACAGGATAAGTACACGTGCTCGAGAGATTTTCAAATATTATTGTTTGTTCTGCAAAAAAAATTAATAGTGACGTTAATAAATATTTTTAGGTACGTTCTTTTACAAAAGTTGTCCAAGATCTTTTTCAATCAATATTTTGTGACGTTTATAAAATTTTTGTATTCGGTTTTATATCGACGGAAATTTTATTTTCATTAATTTGAAACGTGGAAAATTTGTTACTTTTTCGAAAGAAATTGATAAATTGGGGTAATTCTGCAATAATTCCTACATAATTTTTTCGAACCAGTTCTTTGCGTGGAGTGATTGTTCAAATAGTTCCTGGTATAATTTTTTTGCAAAAATTTTGCACACAACTTGCTCAATATTAATTACATACCTTTCGGAAATGCAGGCGAAAAAGGTTCCACTTTACACCCGCAAGTATTGGTGCTCGCATTAATTTCACAAGTCTCGGTATTCATGGCGTTAAAAACTTTCAAGTTAACAAAGATCACTGCTAAGGTAAAGACCGAGGACAAAACGGAGTTGCACAGGGCCAAGTATGCGCTAAATTTTAGCTGAAATTTAAACAAATTCAGTAAAAAATACGTCCAAGTAAATTTTTAAAATTTAATTTTTTACCATAATAAAGTTGCGATATCTCTTCCAGGAAAAGGTCAAGGTTAACAATCCGCAAAGGGTGTACTGTTTAAAAATGGGCATTATTTTTCCAATTGTTTGTAAATTATTTGTGAAAAAAAAACTATGAGGATATTCACTCAAGTTTGTAACCCGGAGGTTATCCGAATTTTTCATAATAATCTTTCTGAAAATTTATGGAAATCTATCAAATTTTGTGGGGTTTGCACATTTTGCAAAGTTTCATATTATTGATAAACTTGGCAGAGTAGGGTTTAACCCTTGGTAGAGTTTCGTAATTTTTTAAAAAACCTCTTAATGGGAACGTCACATTATAAAATTTCGTGAAACCCACTCACAAAATTTCCAGATTTTGTAACCAGCATCTTGGAGTGAATCTCCTCAACCCATCCAAATTCCACTTTAATATTTACCGTAATTGCAGGAACGTAGGTAGGCACCATTTCAAAATATTGGAGTGAATCTGGACTAAGATAATACCTCATCAAGAGGGCCGCTATAGCGTAGATGCCACCCTAAGAAAATCATTTATTGCAAAAATTATTGCGAATTTATTTATCACCAATATTTTTATCACACTCCACTCACCACCACGGTAGCGGATGTCCCGCAGATGGTGCAAATCCGGCCGTAATCTCGTAAACAGGAATTACCACCGCTGCCACCGCCAGCCTTGTTCATTTTATTTTCGAATCGGGTGCTGCTAATTGATTGTAATCGCGAAGGACAAGAACAACACGACGACGACGACGAGGAGGATACAAGGAAATACTTAAAACGGGGAAGACACAATTGATAAGTTCGACTATTATGAAAGCATTCTGAGATAGAGAGATTAAGAGAGAGAGAGAGGAAAGAGAGAGAGTGGGCAGGAGGACGTAATGCAATAGTGAAAGTTTATGGAGAAAGTTTGTTTTTTTTTGGTGCAGATGAGGTGGTCTCTTTTTGGAGAGCGGATATATAGCAGAGAGAGAAAGAGAGAGGGAGAGAGATGATGTGGGAGAGACTATAGTTCTGTGGTCGGGTCTGGTTTAGTTTTCTAGTGGAGAAGAGAATGTATGAAAGTTAGAAAGGGAGAGAGAGAAAGTGAAGTGAAAGCAGGAGCAAGGGGAGGATGTAAGGAGGAAAGGAGGGCGCGTGACTGAGAGTGGACCAAAAAGAAGTGGATTATTTTTTAATGGGGTCATTCTAATATTTTTAATTGTGTATAATCTTAAAAAATTGGTGAGAAATTAGTCACTAAGTGTGAAAATTACAATTGCTTTGTAGCAATTTAACAATTTGCTGCATAAGTATTTAGGTGACATAAATTTCGATGGCATAGCGTTTACGAGCGCAGTGATTACGCTCAGTTTGCAGTTTTGCTACAAAGTTATTGAACTATTTTGAGCATATTTAACTTAAAACTTGTCAAAGGTAAGTTTGAAGTTAGTTTTATGAAATTGAAAATATTTAAGCTTTTTTTTTAATTTGTGAACTTCAGTTTGTATGCGGTTTGTGACAAGGTTAACATATCTTTATACTGGGAAACAAGTCTTGAAAGAATTACGCCAAAAATTTTTTGCAAAATTATTTTAATGATAAATTCACATAAAAAATTGAATTTATGTTAACGAAAATTTAACATTAAAATTTTAGATTTAGCAAATATATCGCTGAAGCGGTTTTATTCCAAGATCATATTTTTAGGGCCCGTCCGGAACTGAAAGTGGGGTAGATTTCGGCACTGACTGCTCTAGGAGGGCGACTATAACATCACATCACATCACGGAAGGAAGGATTGGATTATATAACTTTTGCTAAAACCTACCACCCAGGAGCAGAGCGAGAGAGCTTTCCTCCGTCCGTGGATGGTGGTGGAGATGGATGCGACACTTTCACCAACTTTCTCCCTGCCGTATTACTGGGTCCGAATCAATACATAAATACTGCAGCATTCCACATCCTCCGCCCGAATCCAACTATTCGCTCCGGTGTCGGCTGCAATGAAACCGGGTGGGAGAATGGACACCCTTAATAATCACGGATTTAGGCATCTCTCCCCCTAGTCTGAGGAGGTGTGAGAGTATGGAAATGTGGTAATAGTTTGTTACCAAAGAGGTATTAAGTTATGAGGAGGGAATACATTTGAATTTCATGAAGATTAAGTATTTATATGTTTATGAAGGTAATCCAGCCAGATACAAATATTTTGTATAGATACAAATATAGATACAAATATACAAATATCCAGATACAAATATATGTGGAGAAAGTCAAAGAGAGAATTTATTTGCTGTTCATGAAAATTTGAGGGAGGGGTTGGAGGAAACAATTTTTATGAAAGCTAAATTTTGTAATCTATTTTATTTGATAAACTTGAAAAAATTGTTAAATATTTTGTAAAAAATAATATTTTTTGTTAAAGTTTAGACTCCTTTAAGCGATATTCAAAGGTTTTTAGTGCACTAATCAGATTACAAGATTTCTGCCTGTGTCGTTTGGTTCTTATTTGCTTTTCAGTCGCAGCAATTTTATTTCAAATTAATAATTTCGAAACATTTAGAAAAAAATTATAAGTAATTAGAGTAATCTTGTAATGGATGAAACTATGTATTGATAATGTTTTGATACCGGTTTGGTTATAGTTTTGCAGGGAATGGTATAAACAAATTTCGTGGTGGATAAATTTTACCGCTTCATAGAAAGTTGTAAAAACAGATTTTATCCTTTTACCAAGTTGAAAACAATTTGTAGAAAGCCATTATCAAACCGGTAATAAGCATTATTACCAAATTGATACAAACCTGGATAAAATGTATTGGAATCAAAATCGATACCAAACCAATTTCGAATTAATTACATATAAATATATGCCAAATTTGGTAATGAATTGTTACCGCATTGTTAAGAGTGGGTCATGTAGATTAAACTGGTGGAAGTGTGCATTGTCTCAGGAGCAGGATTCGTATTTGTGGGAGGGAGATGAGGAGCAAGTTAAGGGACGAGTCAGCCCAAGAATGCTCGGGAAATCGTGACGGCAAATTAATCTGCTAGACATGCACGAGGAGAAAGCACCACTGCTTTCACCACACTTCACTCCTCAGACAGAATTAGGTCACCTAATTGGAAATTGATGTCGGTTTTGATGATTAATTGATTGCGGGGAAAGGGCCAAGTGATTTCTAAACTTAGAATCATCATCTCAGATATGGACCTGCCTGCACACTCCATTAAATAAATTATTTATCATGCAATTTGTTAAAATTAATTATTTACGGATTAAGTATATTTTTTTCCTGAGCTTGACCGACGTGTGAAAAATACTGATTTTTTGTAGGCGAAGAAAATTTATATAAGGCTTTGTAACTGTGTAAATCTTGTAAATTTTTGAAAATACATATACCAGACATTTTATAGAAATGTTTAAATAAATCAAATTCAGATTACAAACCGTTCAAATTATATGCTCGTCAGTCAACAGCTTTGTAAAAGTTTGTAAGCTTAGGATTAGTATGCAAAATTTTGCATGTTTGCAAAGTTTACGTACCTAAGACCCGCAGTAAGTACCCGAATTTTTATGATTAAAATGAAAATTATGAATCATAACAATAAAAAATGATTCAGCATTTAATTGCATGGTATATTTGTCACTACAATGTTGTACATGTGATGAGCTTATCTTGTCTTATCTTATCTTAACTGTTACATGTCGTCATGTTCCTGTCACACGAATCGCCACATTAGTGCAAACACATTTCATTTTTGATAAGGTCGAGTGTCAACTAAATATATATGCAGGTTAAACACGTTGTGACAATATATTTTTATGGTTTTGAAATGGACACGTGACTATTAGATAAATATTTACATAAATTATGAAGCGACTTTTCAGAAATTTAAATACGAAGAGAAAAATTTTCAAATTTATTTTGATTTTCTTCCTAATTTTCATAACTTTGTGTGGAATCGTGCTACAAAATAGGAAACCTGCTTCGTTACAGAGACACAATTGTAATAAATTCTGATTCAGAATTTTTGGACAATAATAAAGCTAAATTTTTAGGAAATTTGTGTTTACATTATTTCAGATCTATTAGACTCGAATGTGAAACAAGACTCGTTTTTGGTGGATACGCTAAACTGTAAAATTCCAAACTTGGATCCGTGGGCCGATTCGATAAAATCTCATTTTTCGAAGATATCAAAACCAGTACAGGATTGTAGAAAATTTAAGAAGTGGACGTTCACCGTTGGAAATGTGAATATGGCAATTTCCAGTTATTTGGACATTATTTTTACTCCCTTGTATAATAATTCTGTTTCGCATTCAATTCACTTAAATTTTTAATGAAACATAGTTTTGCAAATGACATAATTTCGTCATTTTGCTTGAAGAGATTTTTTTAAATTTTAGTTTGTTTTCAATTTTCAAATTTTCTCTTGTAAAATTTTCAATTTACCAATTACTCAATTTTCTCTTTGTAGGAAATCATTTTCAATAAGACTGCCATCGAGCGAGATGGATATTCTTGGGATCGCGTGTCCTGTTGTCTCACCCAAATTGAGAGACAAACTCAATCCCCTGAAAGACAAGATAAAGACGCGGATAACCTTGTCAAGTAATTTTAACACAAGTTTAAAAATTCAGAATTTGGAAAATACAAAAAAGTATCAAACATTTTCAAGGTATTCTGAATGCGTACCGCTCAAAGAGATGAGAACCGGACCACTTTTGGGAGAATTCTGTATGATAACGTGTCACGAAGTGATTTTCGGCTTTTTCGAAATGTGGCTGATTTATCGGGATTTCCATTCCATTGTTACAATTAGTGATGATAAGAGAAAAAATGACGATAAGAAGGATTTCGATGATAAGCCCCCAAACGTGGTGATTCTTGGGATCGATTCCACTTCTCGCTTAAACTTTAGGAGAATGATGCCTCGAACGGTGGCGAAATTGGAAGAGCTAAAAGCCGTGGAGTTGAAAGGATATACGAAAGGTGTGCAAATTTTTGCAATTTTTTGTCATGTTTTCATGTTTCGAATTTTGCTTTACAATTTGAAATTTCAGTTGGTGACAACACTTTCCCAAATTTCTGCGCCTTGTTGGCCGGAAAAAGTGAGGAATCTCTGCAACGCGGTTGCTACTCTCGCTCGACGCCACTTGACAAGTGTCCCTGGATCTTCAAGCGATTTGCGGAAAAGGGCTATATCACCTCGTTTGCGGAGGACTCCCCATTTTCGACGGGGTTCAACCACTACAGAACAGGTTTCGCGGAGAAGCCCGTCGACCACTATTTTAGACCGTTCATGATCGCAGTGCATGAGCACGAGTGGGCGTCGAGATGGTTCCGAATTCGGGTAATGAAAAACTGAAAGTTTCCCAGAAAACTGTAGAATATTTGGCTCGCTATAATACTCTGGGAGGGGAGCAGAATTTGCCAATAAAGGCAAATATTTTGCAATTTGCATGCAACAGAAATACATACACATATTAAAATGCAGGAAATTCGTTAAAATTCTATGAGGCTAGTTCAATTTTATGTTTTCGAAATACAATAAAATACAAAATATGATTGTGTTTGAAATCGAAAACTTTTTAAAAATCGGGTTGGTTAAACTCTGCAAAACCTCGTTTTTCACCATCTTATGTATCTCTCCATTACGGACAAAACCTTGATTTTTTAAATTATGTAAATTCCTTTTCCGCAGAATTATTACGAGGGTTGTGTCGGTCCCCGCACGAATGACGAAGCGTTACTTGATTACGCCCTGTCCGTTGTGGACGCCTCGTCATCTTCGTCATCGCCAGCCTTCGCCATGTCGTGGAGTTCTGCCGCGAGTCATGACGCTGTAACAGGGATTGCACATTCTGACGACGCCTACACCACCGCCTTGGACCAACTCGGGTCGAAAGGTCACCTTCGAAACACGCTACTCATAGTCATGAGTGACCACGGGTATCGCTACGGACCAGTGAGGGAAACTTTGCAAGGATGGTATGAAGATAAGCTGCCCTTCGTTTGGATAAGGCTTGGAGAAGATATCGTAAGAAGGTTTCCGCAATGGGGCACGAATCTCGAGAAGAATGCAAAGTATGTAAATTGAAAATTATTTTAGAAGGTTAATTTTAGAGGAAAATTAAAACGTGTATTCAGGAATTTTGAGATGAAGGTTGTATTTAAAAGAAATTAATTTGTCGATTTATTCCCATACTTATGTAACCTTTTATTTGACAGCAACTTAATTTAGTAAATTAATTTTAATTTAATTTCGGGGTAAAAATTAAGCAATTTGCATATTTTCAAATTTTGCAACAAATTGTATGTCTTGACTGAATTGGGGGGATGTCGGTTTGCAGTCCGAAAATCAATCTCGAGAGAAATACAAAGTATAATCAAGAATTATTTTTGGGGCAGAGTAATTTTTATGGAATTTTGACACAGTTTTTGAAAAACGGTTCAGCTAAATTGTAAATGTTTTATGATGTCAAGTCAACTAAAAATATTGCTTTTGTTTCAAAACCTTGTCATCAAGTTGTAACATCAATTTCCTTGATCAAACGATATACAGACTTGATCTATTATCTGATAATAAAACTCTGACTCGAATTATATCACTTTCGGTGGTAAAAACCAGCAAAATTAAATTTTAAAAACTCGATTGATTTGTAAAATGGGTTAAAAGCTTAAGTGTTGCTTCAGAGTAGATAATTTTGATATCTTTTATTTCAAACTGTAACTTAATCCTATAAATTAATCCCTTTCGGGCCGGAACTTAAGCAATTTAGTTTTGTAAATTTTTCAAAAAATTCCAGAACTTTAAAACTTAACGTTTATACTAATTTTGTAGCCGACTCTCATCCCCCTTCGTCCTTCACGCCACGCTTCTCCTCCTCCTAGAAAAGTACGCCGTACAAAATGGGACAAAATCAGAAAGGTACAAAATTCCTGAAAAATCAACACCAAACTTTCTCTCTTCGCTGATCCTGGAAAACACAACCTGCGACGAGGCAGGGATTCCGAAAGAATACTGCGCATGTCACTACCCCCACAAAATAGTGGACCCCACCTCTGATCCAAATGTTAACCTCGCTGCGTCCGTAGCCATTAAATACGTGAACGAGATGATTCTATCCAAAAATAAGAAATGTGGCAAACTCTCCGTCCACGAGGTCACGTCTGCGGGAAGGATGGAAATGCGAGGTCAAGGTCAAGACAACCTGGACTTCATCTACATCGTCGCATTCGTTACGAATCCCGGAGGTTTTTTGATCGAGGCGGAAGTCGGCTTTGGATTTAAACGCGGACCGAAAGTGATTCAGGTTCACAGAGCGAGTGGGATGCACGCTAGAGATATTCGGTGTCTGAATGGTGAAGCGGACGCCGAGGTGGAGTTGTGGTGCTTTTGTGAAAAATAGGAGCACGAGGATTAATTTAGTGGAAATAGTTAATTGCATTATTAATTAAAGCTAATTATTCAAGAGTCAGGTAAAGATGTACAAGTTATTGAATAAAACTGGAAAATTTTGTTGGTGACTGAGAAAAACTTATTGATTTGAAATTCTGAAATTTTTTTAAAATGTGAATGTTACCATAAAATTATATTAATTATATAATTTAGTCGGTCTCAAGGCGTGTGTTATGGAAGTGTCGTATGCAATAAATGGACAATATGTAGAATAAGGACGACTCAACTTTGCAACTTTTATGACCTTGGTTTTACTATTTTTGTATATTTTGGACACTACCGAATATAACAGGTCTACGTTTTCTTCATGCAACGAAATTTCTTTAATTTATGATATCTTACAAGTTCGATTGACCACTATTTTTATCTCTAATTGTACGTAAATTATTTATAAATAATATTATCAGCATCATCGAAGTAGTCAAATAATAGAAATTAAATGTTGTTGCAATGTATTACTTAATTGAACCATACTTGGTGAAAATATCTACGTATATGAAAACTTGTCATGTCCATATTTACATCCATGCATATACTACACCGGAATATACAACAATGCAACAATCGTGTAATCCACATAGACCTTATAAAAAGTGAACATGGTGGACCTCTGCAGCTTGAAGAATCTGTGGTCAAATAGGCCCGCATGAAAGGCCAAAGGTCGCATGGCACGTATCACCCTGAACAAAACCGGATTTTGCTTCCTGTACGGGCGATACCGCAAATATCTCATTTTCAACAACTTTCTCGTTTCTTCATGCGACATCACGATCGGAGGCAGCGTAAGGTTCACCAAGATCGGAATGACCACCGCAAACACGGTCGTCGTCAGATGAAATAGAAGCGGTAATTTTGAGTATAGTCTTAACGTCAAAAAGTTTAATATAATTCCGACCATGAGGGTTGCCGCCATGCAACAAAACACCGAAAACTCCGATATCCCCGATAAAGCCGAATAAAGGAGAAAGTACTGGGTGTAAAGGTCCGTAAACATTTTCGGATTCCAAAGTCGACCAATCGTAGTTGCAAAATCTAGTGCAAATCGGCACATTGTGACGCTAAAAAACAGCACGAACCAAAATATTCGATACGCTTCTCGGATACAAAGTGATGTTAAGAAGCATCTGAAAATGAAGAGGGTGAAAGTGTCATATTGATATGAAATCGATAAAAGCCCGACAGAATCCACATCGATAAGCACCACGATCACGGAAGTCAATAAGGGTGAGAAGTTTCCCACGATAATGATAAGCTGCAGTGCTACGTATAAAATGCGTTCCCAAGTCCATGAAGTTGAGGACGAAAGGGAAATTTTTACTAAAATTAAAAAAATATATATATATATTTCATATACATAGTCCCAATTCCTTAGAAAATTTTCTGAGAGGTTCTTTGGTTTTTGAAAATATTATGAAATATCTGCCAGGAAACCTTTCAGATTTTTTTTCTTAGGTGAGGCATAATAGTAACCATGAACACATGAAAAAATGCATGGTTACGGCGAAGCCTAAGTATGCAAACAGACCCCCCCTCCCAAAATTCCACTCAAGATTGTGGCAAAACAGCTAATCATATCAAAATGGTGTAAAAGGCAATCGTGCAGACCTTGCTGGGTAGATGATGCCCGTCAGGTCTAGAAACATGACAATCTTATTTTAACCCATTTTAAATCGATTTTAAACTTTCAAACGACTTGCAAATTCACTTTTGCAATGCAAAGGTTGTGACTCGTCTATGTTTTAATGTGCGGAAATCTATAACGCGTCATTTAAAACAAACCCGAGCGAAATCGGATAAGAAATGAAAAAGTTTTCTTGGTAGCATGTGCAGCCAGTTACGTTACTTGTAATGTTTCTTCATTACTTATAATAAATACTCGTTTCTATTAGCAACCAGCACAATAGAAACATGTAGGCTCTGCAGTTACATATGCAAATATCTAAACATGTAAATATGTATGTACATGTATGCACTTTTAGAAATCCAGTATTAAAATAGTACCAAGTGGTATTCAGAAATGACTACAAAAATGGTATTCATAACTAATGCTCTGACGTAATCATGTTTCGTTTTCTCCCATGTGAGTAAAATTTCACGGTGAAAATGCAAATTCTCTTTCACGTTTTCCATCATAACTTTGTTTAATTAAACTGAGCATTATGAAAAATCCTGAAACACGTGTTTAATCATTTATCTAAGAATACATGATTATCATTTTTTCGTCAAAATCGGAGCTAGACCGCTGGCGTCATATTGCAAGTAATAGGTACCACTGAGAATTCAATTATACCAGATTTCTAAGTGTGTGCATATACATACATATGTATGATGTTGATGCATTTCTTGTCCACGTCCACGGGTGACAGGGGAATTTAATTTGGTGTTCCACGCATCCACACCCACTGGAGAATTAATTGCATATGCACCGCATCCAGACTAATGAGGATTTAATTTGGTATCTATTATTGATGACAACTTAACGAGACTTAAAAACAAAAAATAAACTAATTCTTAAAAAGAAACTTAGGTGAGGCTTGCTTAAAAGGGGGAAACAAGAGGTTATCATCGTGTAGTAAAATAATATGCTACATTAATGTTCATCTCATGATTTATAATTTTAGGTGAATACAACAACAAATTATATGCGTTTCGGACCATTTGCCTCGCCGTGGGCCTGATTAATTGTTCCATACCAATGCATATATGTATATATATAGTATGTGCGCCATATTGATGCTTGTACCTAAATATACATAAGTTGCAATCTTCTTACTATTCGATTCTGCTTATACTGATGGCCTACATGAATATATTTCAAAGATAGGTCAAATTTTTTAACATTTAGTGTTCTGAAATATAATATTTCATGTTACAAACTAACTCAAGCTTCGTACATTAAATCACCAATAGATTATGGATAACGAAATTATCTAACTAAATCCTGTATCGTTTCATATGAATTATTACTGCATATGTGTACACAAAAAATTTGCCCAGTGCATTTAATATATTAAAGGCACTGGGCAAATTTTCAAGTTATTTTAATTATTTGAATCATAAAATTGCCCACGGCGAGGCAAATGGTCCGAAACGCATATAATTTGTTGTTGTATTCACCTAAAATTATAAATCATGAGATGAACATTGATGTAGCATATTATTTTACTACACGATGATAACCTCTTGTTTCCCCCTTTTAAGCAAGCCTCACCTAAGTTTTTTTTTAAGAATTAGTTTTTCAGACTATTAATATTAGCTGAACCGTAGGCAAAAACGTACGCATGAATTTTACTTACACCGTTGCCAGGTTTCCTGCATTTTCCAAAATGGCTGCATAATGTTCGGAATTAGAGGTGCGACTGCATAAGCGCCCATGTGAAAAATGGTAGTGATCCCACCGGCCACCCCCACGCATCCCGTCGTGTAGAGCTTCCACATCGGAATATCTTCAAATTTATGGTAACGCAACCATCTCCCGCCGCAGACTATGATGGCACTACAACTTTCCAAAATTGCAAAAATTAGCGCTAACAGGAAGAAAATGAGGTGGCTAATTTTCCTTTCTGACATCACTCTAGGCTGAGCGTCAAACATTATGGGAAAGTTGTATAAGATTTGAAATTGAGAGATGTAAACTTGTAGAGATTTTTGCTGCCAGGTTTTAGTTTTGGAAACCATTTTTGGCTTTATTTTGTTAAAAGTAGGGATAAAATGGGATATTATTCACCGAAAGTTAAAAAAAGAGAGTTGTATTGAAATCCGACTGGGTCAGGGGTTCTTTTATGTCAACTTTATAGGTTACTAAAGTTTGCAAAATTTTCAGACGTCAAAATCGATGTTGCCATATAACATTGAAATTATACCCGTAGCAAATCACATATTTGAATAAAAATAGTTTTATAAAATTTACGCAGTTTGTGTAAGTTCCTAAAAGTATGTATGTTGTAGTTGTATGTAAATATGTATTAAATTTCTTGTTGCGTATTGTGTATGGAATGGACACAAAATAATGACCAGGTCAAACTTCTAGGAAGAAATTTAAGCTCTAGTTTATCTAATGTTTGTAATTTTCCGATTCAACTGTATCTTTATTTATAAGTGAAAAAAAATGAATTTGATCTAGACGTACAATTTGCTGCCTGATCTAAATGTAAACAATATTCAAAAAAATACTGAGGCAGAAAATGTACTTGGTAGGTAGTAATTTTTTTAATTTTGAAGTTACAAGAGATTAGAAATATTTGAGGTCATTTTTGTACTCGTGTCGTATTTGACTGGTTGAAGAGCCAATTGTTTGGTTGGGGCTATAATTATCAAAAATGTATTATTACATGGAAGGGTTACATGGTTGTATGTATGTTTATGCCGAAACCGGATTGACCGAAACAAGATTGACATTTTACCGTATATTAATATTTTAACGCATTCTGATACAAATGTTGCCTTTGTATGTAAGTATATCACCGTTTTTGAGTACAATGCTAAAAAATTACGAGAAGGAAAAAAATAGAGCAGAATATGTTGCTAAATTAAATGAAGCCCTTTTAGTATTAAAATACATATTATGTAAGTACAGTGTGGCATAATTATCGGTAAATGTATGGGTATGGTATTCATAATTGGTTAAAAACTATGTGCAAATAATTACCATAAAAATTCAAAGTATTATATTTATATACAAACCGACAATTATTAAGCTAATTTGGCTTCCAAATTGCTTGATCACTGTACGCAATTTGTACATATTATGTAAGCCTGAATAATTGTATATTTACATTAAATCATTTATTAGAGAGTGAAATCCCTCTGTTGGTCTGTCCTGTCGCTCTCTAAGTTTCGAATGGTTCAAGTTTTTAGGTATTGCTATTATAATCGTGTCCCTCTTTTTTATGCGTTTTTTGTAAATTAAAACAGGTCAAGTTGGCTGAACGTTTTAGGCCAATCAGCGAAAGCCAGGCAAGGAAAGTCTAATAGACGAAACTACTCGATTAAAAATATGTAGGGCATATGTACCTACATTCACTCTGTTAAACTATCAGTACTAGTAAATGTATAAAAAATAGATTTTTTTTCGAAAA